ATAAATCTATCTAGATGTAATAAAATGCAAAACAGAATTTTGCCTGTGTTTAAACTTTTTAAATTTGTATTGATTCAACTTTTGACTGATAATAATAATCCAATCCAAGTTTTTTCTCCCCATGTATTAATATTCTTCTGCAGAAGACTATTCCACTTTGGCCCAGCTAATTTAGTGCTGATGTTCCACATGTAGTGAGCGGTGTTAACACCTCTGAAGCATTCTCTATCCTGTAACAATGACACACCGCGCCTATCTGCACACTGCGCTCAACCCTGGTTTCCTTTTTTCTCTCACTCCCACCATTTTCCAGTGATTTTTCTGTTATGGACCTCTGTGCCGGTTAATGCCCACGGTATTTTAACCACCAACCCACCAAGGGCATGAAAATATGGAAGTGATGATGTCATGTCCTGATACGCGCTCACGAGAAAAGAACAAACCCAGGCAATTCGTCTTTGTCAAGCCACAAGCTCCTTTTCCTCCGCCTGTAGACTAAACACACTCGCACATAGACAGCCGCACATTGTTTGCATGCACGCTCGTGAGTGCACACAATCAAACGCCACCACAAATTCAGGCTTTGAAAGCACATGGCGAACAGACACACAGAAGTGCTCAAACTGTGCTGCATGCCAAAAAATCCACTTGAAAGTTTTCTAAATCTAATTTGTCACACATCTGCCGGTCCATGGGGTTCCTCTTTTCTGTGGTGACTTTTACTGTTTTTGAAGCTTTGTTCACATTAGTCTGATACTCAGACAGTCAAACTGAAGAGATGTGATGGCTGCGACTTTAACTCGCGTTAAATAACCCTAGATCATGGGAAAGCAGCTCCGAGTCTTCAGCTCCTTCCAACTCCTCAGGCCTTGGTTTGATTATAAAAGGACATTTCATTCGCAGTTCATTTTCTGAACCAAACTGGCTTAGTTCACCGAGAATATCTGTGGTTGTAAGACGACCGATAAAGCGGTATAGAGCTGGGAAAACCAAGACAGCAGTCAAAATAGCGAGACGGGTAAAAGAAAGAAATTAACTCAAAAATAGTTGACCATGTAGAAAGCCTGTCAAGGCATGTTTGGTCTATTTACAACACAGTCTGCTGCTGCTGACTGGAATGCCTGCATTTGACTGGGAGAGCAATAATCAAGGCAGCTGCAGGCTATAGCATCCAAACAGAGAGGTGATGGTTATACTGCAGTTTGCACAAACCTTCTCCCTCAGTCGTGCCAGTTGGGTAAAAGCTTAAATCCAGACTTGTGTGGGATGCCTAAAAAAGAGCCTGTGATGTCTGTTTTTATTTAGCACGCTGCATTCCCAAGCACGAAGGCACCACAAAGTTATCATCCAGGCGGGTGGTTGGTGGTGATGGTAAGTGGATGGGAGGTTTTCTTGAGGCGCAAATAGGTTTTCCATTACATATTGTATCAGGTGAAAAAATATGTTTCCTAAATTGGTTGTTGTGAAGAGCAAAGATGTTTTTTTTTTTTTTTTGCTCTCACACGCATATGCTGAGCAGATGGGATTAAACTAAAGCTGCATTCACAGGCAGTTACTCATAAACAACATGCAACGGCCTCAGGTGTGACCCGCCTTTACCATAACAAATGAGTTCACAGGACACTTCCTCTGCACGCTGGGTGAATAATTTGGGTATTGATTCCACATTGCCCTACTTTGCTAAGTGTCTGTCAAGGGTTAGGTGGAAGAGCGGACATGATGTTGAATCTGGTATTTACAGGAGGAGAGGATGGTGTCAGGGCTCTAGCATTTACTCTCGACATCCCGCTGGGGCTATTTCTGCTGTCAGTGAGGTGCAGCAGACTGAATACACCTGAGGCTCATCTCACAGTTCTGGGAAAGGTGTGTATACAAGCATTCACACACCCACACACACACATACACAGTGATGAGTGAAGCTCCTGTCATCTAAATCACCTTGGCAAAAGTCTAACAAGACGGTGTACAGAGTTCAAAGACTTACTGCTTCTCCACATTGTGCTTTCATCGACTGAAGCTCCCACCTGTGGGATTAAATAATGTTTTCAGTCCTGTCTGGTATTCAGTTTCCCCACTGAGCAGTTTGACGAGTTATGTCTCATTTATGGTCGCGGCTGATGGAGACCAACTAAGAAAGGGCTTCATGTGACTTCATCTGAAAAGAAAAAAATCAGACTTAAAATCTGTCCTCATACAGGAAGCTCTGTGAGGTGCATAAAAGCCCTAAAAAGGAAAAGCTGGATTGACTTAGTGTCCTTACAACTTTTCTGCATGAGGTTTTCCAGGTATTTAAACCAAATGCCTGGGTCTTTCCTAAATGAAAAGAAAATACAGTAGATAAGAGCCTCTGTTTTCCTTTCATAGCTGCTGCTATGTGTCCTATCAGCAAGGATAACACTGTACAGATCAAAAGTAATTATTGAGATCTGCAGACTGAAATAGATCTGACAAAACTGAGTGCTAAGGCTAAAACAGCCTCTAAACACTCCTGCCACTGGATGACATGGACAAAATGTAAACGTGAAACAGATAATATCCAAAAATACCTCCTGTTGTGAACATTTTAAAACAGAGCATAGATAGACTTTGGTGGCCAACTTGGACTAACCAAACTCGCAATTTTGTGTGCTTTCCAATTCTACTTTTGAAAGGGCTTGTTGGCAAAAACTGCTTTCAGTTTCACCTCTAAAGAAAGGGGTGTTTAAGACACCCAAACAGTTGGCTTTCACCCTCTCTGAATGCGTAATTGCTTGAGTTTGTGGTCATTTTGGATCCTTTGAGTTCTCAGCAATCTAGTGTCGAAAAATGCCTCTTCTGAAAAAAAAAAAAAAAAAAAACCTAGTGGTAAGAGATGAAATCTAAAATCAGAATTGTTCAGCACATGTCTGGCTAACCTCTTAGACTTCAATTCAAATCTAGTCGAAACTGTCTGCACAGCCTCGAGGCTCTGCTCTCAGTTCAACCACCCTTCTTTGTACCTGAATGCACGATTAGTCACCGATTCAAGCTAAACAGCGTCTCAAATCAAAGTTCAGCTCTGACAATAGAACAATCAGCCCGCATTTTAGACTCATGCAGCGTAACCACGCACACCTCCTCTCTGTGCTGCGCTGTACACTGTGTTAAAAAGACTGTAACAAAGAACTCAGAGGAGATAAACACCCCGGGATGTGTGTATTTCAAACCGATAGTAGTCCTCCCGAATGGCTCTAAAGCCAAGGTTCAGTGTTTGTTCTATTTCCCAGGAGGGTTCAGCCTATTCCAGCTATCCAACTCAAACACTGACACGTATATCAGCACTAGTCAGTATGGCTGCTATATGTGTTGACTTAGAAATCTTCTGTGGTAACAGGCTGAACACAGTCATGTTATGTAGCATAGTGAGAAACTTTTATTTAACTATGTACCCACACAGGAGACTGTTGATTATATTCAAATTCAACAAATAAAATTATGACTTCTGCTTGCATTCATTTCTCTTTCTTCTTCTCTTTAGTTGAAATTTCAGTATAAATCAGTGAGGCAAAACATCTTTTAACTGCTATCTTCCCTTAAGCTTTATAGGGCTTTAACAAATCAGAATCAAATATTCAGGCAAAAATCAACTATAAAAACCCACTGATGTGTCATAATCCCTCAAATCTTGGATATGATATTCACACTTCACTTTCACTTCCCATATGGTCTAGCGGTTAGGATTCCTGGTTTTCACCCAGGCGGCCCGGGTTCAACTCCCGGTATGGGAATAATGTTTCGTCTACCTCATGTATGTAACCCACCTGTATATGGAGACACATGCATGTACACAGATAGGAAAGGATATTACAGTAAGTTTACTTGTATGTGCACACAGACTTGGCTGATTCTGATTTACTTTCCAACCTTAATCCAATCATGACCTTTGCCACTAACCAAACTCAAACACCCATACCTTAATGCTTCCATGTTATACTGGAACCACATTTACCATGCATTTAAACAAACAGGTGAGGTCAAAGAACTTTTTGTCAACATTAGACACAAAAAAATACTCTGTGATGAAATGATCTTGTACTTGAGTGAAAGAGTGCTGGCATTGATACAGCATACAAATAACAGTCTCATAGTCTTCAAAAGATTGTTGTTAGTTTTGAAGGGAAAGTCGACAATAGAAAGCATAGCACTAACACAAAATCATCTCCCTAACAAGTCTTCCAAAATAAACTCTGTTCATTATAACAATCATTTACTTCACCACTGCATAAATTCAATCATTGCCACACCTGATCGAACAATTTTGTCTAAAAAAGGGGGATTTTACGCACAGTCTGCAACCTCTAAGTCAGACTACCTGCTGTGTAAATATTTCAACACTGCAAAGGACTACAACTTTGTATTGTTTTATTTTTTTATTATAATAAAGAGCAAAAATTAAGGACAACTCTTTTTTTATTATCCAGACCCAGACAATATGTACAACAGGCAGAAATATGTCAATAGAAGAACAAATCATGAACTGTATTCCCAAGACACAATTACTCTGCCAGTGTTTACATGACCGCTGAGCAGTGACTGGCACGAACAGGAGTTCAGAGAGGACACTGAACACACCAGAAGCTGAGTCCTCTCAGCAGGAGCCCAGTGTAATAACACCTCCCAAAACTCTGAGGCATGTAAAGCTGATTAGCCAGCTAATAAATCTGATTAACTCGATAGAGGGTCTGGAGTGGAATAATAGACCCCGAGCCAACAGATACAAACACGGATAATCACCATCATTTTAATACATCCCTCCTCTGCTGGGGACACAAAGGCCGGTCCAGATTTGTAGGGGAAGTCAAACCCAGTGGAAATCAGGACGCTCATCCATTATCCAGTAGCTTTAAATGTTTTTCTGTTTAGGATTTTTGAATAAAAAGCTGTTGAAAATTATGATTATGGTTGGTTTGAATGGAAAGATTGTTATGGGAAAAACAGAAACAATCTGCCTCTGATGATGGACTTAATTTACTACTGAAGTCCCTGCTTTTAAAATGATGTAGAGCGATCCAAATGCACCCAGCTCATAAGGGCTGACGTTAATTTATTTCCTCTAAAAACAACCATTCGGTCCATCCTGTGAGAGTAAAAGAAAAACAGCATCATGATTGAGGTGCCATGACTGTGGGTGAGAAAAACATATTCAGGTGATTTATGACATTTGATTTTCGACGATTCTGTGTTGAATAGACTAAAGTGTCTTATTTGCTAGTCTTACTAAAAACAAAGATAAATCATTTACTTTATTTGCTTCTGTTGACAGGCTCACCCCGCCTCTCCTATGTCAGAAGCCCTTGAACCTTTATCCCCTTTGGTATGCAGTGAATTCACCTCATTTATTGCTGACTAAATTCAGAATATAACAAGCTGTCAGGGACTCCTCGTCATGTTGAGGTTATGTAAAGCCTTTGCATCACCTTAAAACCAGATAAATTACTTATGAAAGTATTAGAGAAATCTGGAATCAGATTATTTAAAACATTTACTGAAATCTTTATGGAAGTTTTTTTTTTTTTTGACTCCATGGACTTTGTTTTTATATCTATAAGGCTATTTTTCCAGCTCCTGAGAGCTGCAGTTATCACCTGATTGTAAACAAAGGATAATGTATCGTCTCACCCTGTTGGGAGTACACTATAGCACTTGAGTTGTTCTTGCCAAGGTTATGGCTGAGATCAGCTTGAACACAGACAATGGAAAGGATTTAGCTTAAGTATACTGGATCTGCATTGGACATGGTCATCCACTATATTTCTAGACAGACTGGAAAACTCGGGTGGGCATTTTGGCCCAGTGCTACAATGTTAAAATATTATTTAGAAGACACTTTATCTAAAGCGATGTACATAAAAGAACAACACAAGCAAAGGTCGAGACAAGAAGAAACAAGACCAGTAAGAGCAAGTGCTTTAAATCCAATTGGACACAGGTAATGCCATGCAGTTTGAAAGGCAATGCACAAAACGGTTACTTTTTTTTGTGCTAAACTGGATTGAATTTCTCTGACTGTTGCTAGACTGTTCTTCTCAACATCTACAAAATCCATTTGGCAAAGAGTGTGGAAAAAATGAAACATCTTTACTATCACTTTGCAGATGACACACTGATTTTTAACTATACCAAAAAACAACATCCATACATATATATCTAGCAAATACACATGCTGATAGAAGTTTAAAACCTGACTTATTTATTCATATCTCACAATACAGCCTGGTTGCACTTGAATCTTTGTTTCTAATCCTGTCTTAGTCGGTCTTACATTCATTACAACAATACTTGGTCATGATTTTCCCAACCCCTTTTTACTGACTGAAGAATTAAAAAATCAGACTATGGACGAGGTTGTGTTAATCCAATAACACACAGACTCTCACATGTGGTCCAAACCCCACAGTGGTGGCCAAAATTTTGACAGTGCGGTTGCCCAACATTTACTCAGTTAGCTCCAGTATTCCTTTATTTAGCTGGAGTCCAGTAAAACCTGGAAATCTCATTGTCTTCTTAAACGGATATTCCCACAGATTTACTGAGTGAACTCTCATGAATGTGTCAAAACTTTCCCTTGCATCAAACTGTGATCAAGTTGCCTGTAAGTTTTACAGAGAGAATTCTTTCCTACAGCTTCTTGGGGTTTGTTCTTGGGGATTTTTGACTCTCTTTACTGGCACTAACCTCTATTGAATAAGTCATTGTGGTGAGACAGACCAATCACTGAGAGACATAAAAAAGAGCAGACCAGGCTCCCACTGCGAGTGGTTAAGTTCAATAACACTTACAAGACTGTTCATTAGTTAAGATGTCTACATGAATGCCAAATGTTCTGTACACGCAGAACAGAATGTTAAAAGTTTCTAGAATGCCACGAGAAGGTTTCTGCAACTTCCCTTTTTAATGTTGAGAAAAGTCTCATCTGTCTGTTAGCTAGAGGTGAAAAAAAGATGGTTGTTGCAAGAGAGAGAGGAAAAATGTGCTATTTTCAAAATGGGAGGTTTATCTGAAACTTATCAGACTGTCTGCTGTTGGTCTCATCTGTGGACAGCTCAAAGGAGTCTTCTCAGAAACCACAACTCTCTTGAGGTCTCTCCAGCCTGACTGGCCAAAGAGGATAAATAACCATCACTATCCTCTGGTAAAGCAGTTTCACCATGGCCTGTCTATCAGACTCCATGGACTATCTTAGCACCTTGAATGGAAAACTCCTCTCTTTGCCAGTATACTCACTGAGCTCAGTGCAATGGGATCTACTTACAGCCTGTGAAAGATGGTTAAACCTGTAAAGTGACAGTGATGAGCTGAGCATACCATGGAGACTCTGCTTCAATGTGAACAGCAGGAAAATGTCGAACAGTCTGACTCACCGCTCTGGAAGAAACTAGAGGTATATCTGGCAATTAAAATCACTCAGAGCTTCTCTGTGTTGGCCTTTGATCACACTGCTCTCTGAATAAGCCATGTGAACTGATTTTGCATTATGAATGAAATCATTCAACAGATTATAGCTCACTCTAAACCATCTGACAACACCATTTAGTACTAATGTTTTCGCAGCTGCGTTATTTGTACATTAAGTCAGCAAATCTTGTTACAGTGAGTTATTCCCAGGTGAGACACTGAAACCTTCTCCAGAGGCTTATTTTTCGCTGAGAAATGTAGACCGTAGCAAAAGAAAAAATGAACATACAAAGCCTCTAGTGTCTTCAGGATAAGCATGAGCCCTGCGGATGGAAAAATGATTCAACATAGTCTCTTAATTCAGAGGTAAAACGGTGAAAAGTCCTGGCAGAGCCCAGATGGCAGTAGGTATGAGCGTACAGACTTAACAGCTTCCAGACAGGGAATACAAGGTACAGTAACTACATAAATACAGCTCCAGACACTCCTGATGGGCATGAATACTATTACAACTCACTATGTCTGGAATGATTGAAATTAATTCTTGCAGCAACACGAGGGATGTCTTCATCCTCAGGACTGACCCATGCTGAGAGTGTCTAACGTTCAAAATCAGATCAGATAAAATGAGCAGATTGAATTCAAGGTTCCTCTTTGAGGAATTTGAATAATTCTCATTTGAAGCTGCAGCCACTCACAATGCGTTGACAGCTTGATGATAGCAACAGACTGATGACGCGCCATAAATGACAGCATAGTGTTTCACTCACTATTCACAAATCTATTTTTGATTGTCTGTATCAAGTCCCTGCTAAGTTCTTAAACGACGCAGTTATAATTGGCTTTACAACATGTTGGATCGTTAAATTCAAGAAATGTCTTAGTTTGGATTGAATGTGTAAAGCAGATGCTGGAAAACATATGTGGTGTCAATCAATCCAAAGCATCCAACTACACAAACAGAGAGTAAGGGAGGCTATACAGGCTAACTGTGGTACTTTCTCTTGAAATAAAATCTCCTGGTCAACAGGAAGAGGTGAAACCATTACCATCTGCTTGGTTGGATACGTTTGATCAGGTAGTCCACGGCACCACATCTTGACATTCAGAATAATTGCTGTTGTTCGTGGGTTTTGACCAGTCAGAATTGAGAGTTTATCACAGCATGTTGATAGTTCAGCCAAGTAATGATCTCTATTTATGTATTTAAATGGATTAAGTATGTGTAGTATTTGTGTGGTTTAATCAGAGTGTTAAATAGTGTCTAAAATCAAACCATACTCACCTTTAATTGAATAGTACTCCATAAGCGGTATTTGCCATTTCACGGTGCTTCCCAAATCATGAGGAAGAATTACTTTGTCTTTAATAACAGCTTCATTTGGTCGCAGGGTGCTCTGTGAAAAAGCAGTGGACAACTGCTGGTCTGAAACCGAAAAACACAAACATGATGAATTGGTGTGCAAAAGAAAATGTCAAGTCGGTGGCACAGTGGAGTTTATAAGTAAAAAAAAGTAAGTATTTTCTTTTTTTGCATCTAATTATTTTGATGTAATTAAACTCAGTAAGGGCGGCACAGTGGTGTAGTGGTTAGCACTGTCGCCTCACAGCAAGAAGGTTCTGAGTTTGAATCCGAGTCAGGGCATTTCTGTGTGGAGTTTGCATGTTCTTCCTGTGTCTGTGTGGGTTTACTCTGGGTACTCCGGTTTCCTCCCACATCCCAAAAACACGCCTAAGTGGGGTCAGGTTAACTGGCCACTTTCAAATTGCCCGTAGGTGTGAATGTGAGCATGGATGGTTGTTCGTCTCTATATGTCAGCCCTGTGATGAACTGGCGACTTGTCCAGGGTGCCTTCGCCCGAAGATGCTGGGATAGGCTCCAGCCCCCCTGCGACCCCGGGAACGGGAATAAGCGGTAGAAAATGGATGGATGAACTCAGTAAATTGCTTATCATTAAAATTCAAGCAGCTATTTTATCATCTATCTCTGGCACTGAGTTCCATGTTAAAAGTGTACAACAACAACAACGCCATTGTCAAACAGTTTTTTATTTCATTTTTTAGTATCGTGAACTCACCATATTGCCCTACATAATTTTACCAAGGAAAATAAGAGCTGTTGATGAGTTTTGAAGAGGTGACTGGAGTGGTGCTGGCATTGGAGTGACATTAGCATAGAGTTTTGGACTTTTTAAGGTAAGTTGTGTTATTTTTCTATAGGTACCATAGGTCATTGGGACTTAATATCTTCTTCGTACAAATCACTACTACAGCACCTCTTGTACTGTTCACCACAAACTGTTTGCTTTATATACAAGTAAACTAGCGTTAGCTTGGTCAGGTCAGCCCTCGCTAAGCTACAAAGAAGGTAAATGAGTCTGTGGGTGCAAATACTCAGTAATCACCAATCTAGATTAAACCATTTAGGTGCATAGTTTAACGATGTGTAAGTTCCTGGTGAAAAAAAAACACTTTTGTCATAATTAGGCTGAGGTTAGACCTTCAAAGAGCAAGAGTTGGAAATGCGATTATGATAAATGTGCGGATTCTCTTTGTTCTTCCCTTTCTCTTCTCTATTTCTTTGACTCCTTGGTTTATTTTCTCACACACTGGGGCCTCTAATTTCCTGGCATCTCACTACATTACACATCCACAATGACTGCAGCAGATATTTTGGGCTCACACACTAATGTCATTTGCAGGAGGGATAGCGTACAAATATATTGCCAAGACCTCGCATTGTGTGACATGGATTAAGTCCTTGGCAGCTTGTGCGGCAGCCAACCAGATCAGTGTTAGGCATTTTGTTTTTGTCTCCTGGTAAATTTTGATTACATTCAGCAGAGCATTGATCCAAACAAAGAGCAAGCTTCTTGTTGGGAGAATAATTCCCTCCTTGTTCTTTTCCCATCTGCGGAGAGGCCTGGCTACTAAGCAGAAAGGCATTTAGATGGAAATGTGCTGAACAGGATCCGAGAGGAATGTCACTGCAATTGATCCATATGCTTGTGCATATACAGTATGTTGATTAGATAGATAAAATGATCTTTTTCAAATAATTTTGTTGCTCAAACTTGACCTGTTGAAGGAAGCAGCATACAAAGAAAAAGTCTAGCTGCAGCAAAGTGACAGACTACAGTGCAGGCTTTCTTTATTACTCAAGCTTCCACCCACTTCCACTTATTCTTTAACACTTCACATAGCGATAGCACAAATAATAAGAAGTAAAATAGTTTTATAGCATTCCATTGAATTAAGTAATGTCCTGTACAGATTACAAACTTGACTGCACGGCAAAGACCTGGAAGTTCTTGTTTTTTACTGCTACTCACACCCAAGCTACATATTTGTCATGCAGATTTGTGATTATGTTCTGCTTACATGCTGAACTCTTATTGCAGCACATATATGGTTTTTTTAGTGCATTGTCTTTACATGAAAACAACAAATCATTTGGCCTGTTTGTTCCTCTTCTAATAATGTTAGATTATATCAGACTGAACAAGCCTTCTCTCTCTCCCAAACATCCTGTGTTTGTTTGTTTTGGCTCTTGGAGCCATGTGAACAATGTTGAGTGTGATTTTAGTCTGAAAAATGCCAGCTTTTTATTGCATTAAACATCCCAAATCAGAACCAGACGAGTTGGCAGTGGCAGAAACAGTGATTGTGTGCAGGGCAAACCCCTGAGATTCATTTGCAATTATTTCTAATTCCCCCGCGTCTAAGCAAAACTGTTGCCAAGAACATATTAGGTGGAGGCGGTGTTGCTGTATAGCTGATTTGGGTTTTTTAATGCGATGTATAAGTTGCATCGCTGGCTCTGTGTGTGCGTGTGTAAACATTACCCAGACTGACAGAGGAAAAGCATGAGCCAGCTGATTGTGGTTTGGGCTCAGTCTGTGTCTGTGAATTAGTGCACCGAGACTCCCACCATATGCATAGAGTTTATAAATGGACACACACATATGAAGACACAAAAACAACAGAACAGCACCGTATTAGCAGCTGCCCTGCCTCTCTGTGGAAGTAATTTAGACCACATAAATAGTGGTAGTAGGATTTATGTCATGGTGTGCTTACACTGGATTTAGGAACTTGGTGATAGTTTTTATATATGAAGGCCTAGCTAGCATACAGGCCTAAAATGGGAAATCAGCACAATTTAGTAGGCACCTCCAAGGAGTGATTCTGTGAGGGGGTGAGAGATTTGGCTGGTTTTTGTTAAATGTGGCCCTCCAGTAGTATACATCATCAAACCACAAGTGAACACACCCTGATTTTACCCGGTTTTATACAACCCTGCTTCAAACCACAACACCCTCTGAGGTAGTTTATGAGAAATACAGATGTCTGGTGAGTGAAAATAAACAGAGGCCAGGCTGAAACCTTAACTGGATTAGTTCCACATACATACTGAGGAAGACTGGCAATCAGCATGGCCAGTATGGAGAGCACTCTTATACACACCATAGAATGTGAGTTTATGCCTCGTAATCATTTAGGAACATCTACACATCAAAACATCCTCGAGCTTGGTGAATATTCCCCCTCTGCCTCTCTGTGTTTACACTGAAGCTGCGCCTTTGAACAGCCCCATGGCCGCCTGTATCCCATTACATTCAGAGGGATGAGCTGACTGTCGGTATGGTGAGCAAGTAAGCAGAGATGGTCTGTGTATGATTCTAATCAATTCTGGCCTCAGCCACAGCCGACGCTCTTTAATAACCTCTGTAGATAGATCTGACTTGAGAGGGAATGCAAACCAGATCACTTTGGAAATTCCACCACACTCTCTTTGCAGCAAAAAGCCCCTCTTCAGAAGGAATGTGCGCTAACATTTCCCCTCGTCTCCCACACACACAGCTGCCCTTCAGAGAGTCACGCCAGAGGCGCGCAGCCAGATCGGCCGCTGGAGACACAGAGAGAACGACAGACACGGCGGCTAATGGCTTCTCTCTCAGCTTCAATGGGGTCCTACACATATAAACATGTCAGGAGAGGCTGGGGCAAAAGAGAGAGAACACAGAACTGGTGATGAAGAGAGAGAGATTTAAGTGGAATATAGGAATAAGTAGCCTGAAGTGGGACTATAAAAAAGGGAAATAGAGAGATAAGGGGAAGGAAAATCAATCTGGGTAGAGTGATGTGTGAGGAAAGAGGAGAGAGATCAAGGAATGCGGAGAGAGAGAGTGGGAGCAGGAGGTGTTGAAGGAGGAGAGGAGGTAGTGCTGAGACATTACTTAGTGTAGCCTCGAGGTGATGGATGTCTGCGGAGTTTGGCAGGATCATCCATCAGGTGAGGAGAGGTGGTGAAAAGAGAACTTGACCAGATTCACCAACAAAAAAACACATTAAAGTGAAATCTGTGATTGTTTTATAAAATCTAAACTTCATACGGAAATTTGAGCTTTGTCTTTTGGTTAACTTTCCATGACCTGTTGTTTGATAGAGTGGTGAACCACAAGCATATAACTCCACCATTAAGTAGAGTTAGGTTATCCTATAGTGGGAAGGAGATCAAGATGTTACTCCTAAAGCCTGGCAGCAGTTCAAGACACATTTTTTTGACCTTAATACTCAGCCATACTGTCTCCACTAAAGATCTGTCTATCCAGATCCAGTAGCCTCACCAGAGCCATGGCCTCATCTCACTGCAGGATTCTGTACACAGGATTGAAAAGATTAGCCAAAAACATTCAAATGTTTCACTGCAGGTCTGTAAATCTAAAGATCAAATATTTTCCAAAGCGCAGACGCAATAGAGACAACCAGATGTTTCTCATATTTTACAGCCTTTTTGTTCTCTGAGTAAATCAATGTTTCAAGACATGCAGAGATGTTAGTGAGGATTATAGTCTTGTAGCTAACATACCTGCACAGAGGGCAAAAGATATGTACGGTGCAACAAATACAAACTTTAGGGCCACTTCTGTTGTTTGTGCCCAAGACCTTAATTTCAGAGCACTGCTTATAAGTGCTTACAGTTGCTGACTGTGAAAGATGTCCCTTAGCTTTTCCCCATCATTCAGCAGCGACATTATATCTGTTTGAAATTCTGTGAATGCTTCATAATTGCTCTGATTTAATTGCACAAGAGTCATCATGCAGTGGAATTAGCAGCAGCTCAAGACCTGTACTCTAAAAGAAGTGTGATTAGTTTCTCTACTTTGTAGATCTGACATTGTTGTTGAAAAAGTTGACTTTAAAAGTCTCACCTCTTCCTGATTTTGACTGGTCAATGATCAAGAAAATTAAAATACAATTTTGCATATTGTTCAAAAATGTATTTGCCTGAAACAGGACTTTTAAACATCATGTGTACACATTTGTCCCATTGATATTGCACTGAATCGTAGTCAAACCAACATACCTGAACGAGGCTGTTGGAGACTGATCTTCTCTTCCATCTATATGGCTTGATCTGACTGAAACTGGCCTAACTGTTCTACATATGCCCAAGTGTTCACACGCCAGGCACTGAGCTGGAAGTTGAATTGCATGGATGACGGAGGAAGAAAGAATGCAAAGAAGACTCAACTTTTCTGTCTTACAAACAAACAGTACAGAGCGTTCAAAGTTACAGTGTCTTTTCTTTGTTCAGCATACTAACCCCACCCACTGTTTGATACGTAACACCTCAACCGGAAGACAAGCAGATAGTAACAAGCTGAAGGAGGAGGAAATGCCATCGCCAGAGAGTAGCAGAGACAGACATGCTTCTATCAGTTATTCTGCTCTGGCCCAGTGCTTGTTGACTAGGACAGACAGTAGTCCAGTTCAATTGTCTAATCAAGCTTTAACCAGAGTTTGACTTAACTGTACATATGAATGTACCAACTGGGGCGGCAGCAGCTCAGGAGGTAGAGTGGTTGTCCAATAACTGGAAGGTTGGCAGTTTGATTCCCCCCTATGCCGGGTCTGTCCGTTGTGTCCTTAGGCAAGACACTTGACCCACATTGCTCCCAGTGTGTGTCCTCCACTGGTGTATGATTGTGAGTGTTGTGGTGGTTGGAGAGGCCGTAGGTGCAAACTGGCAGCCACGTTTCTGTCAGTGTGCCCCAGGGCAGCTGTGACTACTAAGGTAGTTTACCACCACCAGAGTGTGACTGTGTGAGCGAATGAATGATGTATCAAATGTAGGGTCTCTGATAAAGTGCTATATGAAATCTGATGCATTATTATTATTATTATTATTATTAATTACTGTCCAAAAATTGGGAAATCGATCATATCAAATTTCTCCTTGGGGATAAATTAAGTTCTTCTACTCTTATCTCATCTTATGTTATCTTATTTTAAATATTCAACTTTTTCATGTTAGAGTGCATTGAGCACAGCGACAAAAGCAGCTTTGTCACTCAGCTTTTACGCTCTATGTTAGATACGCATATGATCTGCCCGTTCTCTGTGTTAAACACTTAACAATGAGAATTCATGTTCCTATGATGTGATGTTATGTACTTTACACAGGCTATTGTTACAACTATTAGCTTTACTGCCAAGACATTTTTTGCAGGTACTGCAACATTTGTTCAGTATCTGCAAGCCTGCAGAAGTGCTGACAAAATTAATGTCCTCTTTTACCACCTTTATCAGCAGCGTAGTCTTCAATATTTTCCCTTTTGCTTCACAGATAAAATCCCCTCCATCGCTGCCATGTTTGTTTTTATTCATCTTTTTCTTTGGGGTGTTTCACAACATCCATTCCATCACAGAGGATGCACAGAAGAATGAGAGCAGTGACAATAACACTATTTTTACACATAAAGGAAGCACAGATGAGCCCTCAAACCAAGGGCATTTTGGGCGAAGGATACTCTGTGCTGACAATGCCAACTGCACTCAGTTTAAGGAGAGAATAGGCGCTGCTGATGCAAAGAATTGGGTGGACACAGCTCCTTGCAGTGCCAAGTGTTCCTAGGGTAAAATTTCCTGTAGGCTCTTTATGTTGGAGGTTTCTTGTCCAAAGTCTTGAGAGGAAACAATTTTCTGTGTTTAAGTTTTATGATTCTAAAACATTCAGGCGCTGCATCAACAAATTCTGCGGGTTAAGCCTTAGTCTACGTTTTCCCTGCATACTTTTCTCTCTTTATTTGGATGTCTCTGTCTGGTGTGCATGGCGGGAAAATGGGTCAAGAAAGGAAAAGAGATGGAGGGAGAGGGGCCCACTGGTCCCTTCCACATCCCTGTGTTGAATATGAAAATATATTATAGCATAATGTGTTCAGTATGCAAGCTTGAAGGAAACCATATGAAAGATCCTAGACAAAGAACCTAGTGTGTTCCAGCTGACCCCCTCCTCCCTCCCTCACCCTTCCACCCCTATCCTTCGTCTGCTTCAACTCAGAGAGAGAGAGAGAGAGACAGGGAGAGAGAGGGGAGAGGTAAAAGGGGGAGGTGTGTAGGAACTGAAAAGGGGCAGTACACGCACTCGCCGCCTCACACTGACAGACCCACCGGAGCACAGGTGAGCAGAATGACTTAATCCACACAAACCAAACAGGAAGGATACACAGAGCCCTGGAATTTAATCTGCCGCTGGGCAACTGCAGACTTTGTCACCTGCAGCCTATTATATTTATCTCTACAGGGTAAGACTCTATCTTTGTTTGCAGAGGGAAAGAGAGGAGAGAGGGAGCTGAGGGGAATGCAGGGAAAGAGAAGAGGAGGGAAACTTTGAAAGTCTTTGTTTGAGTAGATGACAAACATCTGTGGCCGCTGTTTTTCCCTCATTGCGGGCTTACAGGCTTGCACAGGGGTTTTAGCTGGCTACATTAGCATTGTGGTCACTGATATCTGAGCCTATTGTCCTGACTGTGTGGATCCTGCTGTGTAGCCGGGTTATAGACTTGAACTGCACTGTGTAACATTAGAGGGTGTATCCAATTAAAACCCGGCTTGAGCTGTATTGACTTACATATAAGTAATTGCTTCCTGTTAACACAACAGGTGAGGCCCATTAATACCTTACAGGGGGGGCAACCTTGGGTATATTCTTGCCATATGTTACCATTTGTCAAAATGTGTACTTATGATTCATTTGTGCAATGTTTTGCAACTCTTTTAGCAAAGGTCTTAAATCATAGAGGGTAAAAAAGCTTAATCACACCATTCATAAATTAATTCTGCAGAGTTGATATTGTTTGCACACCTTTTGCATTTCTAAAAATGCTTGTTCTTCCTCTGTTTGATGTGTAACTGTTTTCAGATTATGAATCTGATTGTTTTTCAAGGCTCCTCCCTCTTGGCACCAGATCATACGCACCAACTTCGAGTACTTATCTTAACCTCTTGATGTGTTCCACCTGTAAGAGCAGGATGAGCTGCGCACAAAGCCGTCACCTCATTACAAGCTTCTCCTCTTCCGCTGCATGATTTATGAGTGCACATGCACAATTCCTAAAAGTGAAAAGAAGAAGAGAAAGAGAAGCAGACATCCCTGACTTTCATTGGAGTCTGAACCCTACAACGTTTTAAATGTCACTCATCAGCCGGCACAAGCCTGGGCATGTTGACTATCAGCCTTCAGAGGAATTATGAAGCAAGAACGCCAATTTTCGAGCACTACCCAAAATTATTTCATAGTGCTGTGAAGGCCTTTGAATAGCTCTTTGTCTGATCAGTGAGAAAGCGAGAGAAAAGAGAGGAGAGAGAGGAGAGAGAGAGAGCAACTGTGCCTGCTAGAGCCTTTGGCATTTACAGATGAATGACTTTTGCCTGGGAATCTGTTAAGAGTCCAGGCAAAAAGCAAGCAGACTCAGAGCAGCTCTGCCCGGAAGGTATTCAGTCATAAAAACTTGCCAGTCAATGTGGGACTAGATCCCTCATTATATGCCTGGTAACTGATACAAGTCTTTAAGTCTTACAGTAAAGAGGTATGCACGCTCACCTGACAGGCACACATCTCACATACCTCCACACATGTGCGCCCAGAGCGGCTGATGATATACAGATGCCATACCTGAGGTGAAAATGCATGCAAAGTCTGAATTATTAGGTGGCTGACATGCTCTCTACAAGTCGGCTATTGATGCAGATGTCTAATAAATGTGCAAGAAAACGGCCATCAGGGACAAATGAATGATTACAGTTTGCATGGCTGCCAGAGCTGTTTCTTTTCTGCATCATCACTATGCTGCGGAAAGAGAGAGAGAGAGCTGTGGGATAGATTTGCTGTCTGCGTTTGAATCCATCATAGGCTGACGATGTACAGGAACTCTGTGATTACACACTAAAGCGGCCTACGGGCCAGACTGTAAATGATATCCTTGGCTGCAATCATGGAGGTCAATGGGTGGCATAGCAAAACTGTGCCGGGGTGGGAGCTGAGTAGGACAGGTGGGCACCATAAAATACCTTTTGAACTTGAAGGTAATTGGAGGGTAGCCGGAGAAGGGAGGATGACATCAGACCTTAGGAATGAAAAATAGAGAGGATACACTGAAGTGGGGGAGATATCACAAGTTAGTTTGGAAGAAATACAAAACCAATGCTTGATTCTCCTAGCTGGGTCCAATGAAAGGAAAATGAAACAGACTGCAGCAGATGAAGTTTTCAAGAGTCCATATGTGGCTGTTTTGTGAGCCAGAGTGCATCCTGCACCCTTGCTGGGTCACGTTTAAGAATTCTACATCTGTTCTTTGCTCAGAGGTTAATAAATATTTACAGCCTGGATTAAATAGAACCATATTTTAATCAGTTAATGTGAGGACTCGACATGTGCTCTGTTCTCATTGATTAACGTAAACATGATGCTGGAAAAACAAGGAAAGAAAAGGCAGCAACGAGGTGCTAATCTAAAATGACAATGCTGGCCTCCACATTGATCCAAACACATCTGGGGGAATCAAAGAGCCGTTGTCAGAGCGTCTAAACAAAACCGGCCTTCATTTCTCCTCACTTGACACAATCGCTGCAGTGGTGGAGGATTTTTGTTGCTTTTCTGTGTGGAAGTGAGGCCGTGTTTTGTTTGGGATGATTGTGCTCAGGGGCTGATGCACGAGTAAACCCTCCCTCCCTCAGATTGTCATGACTCAGCTGTCATGTCTGAAAGCGTCTGCTGCACCGAACACATTCTTCTAGGGAAAGATGAATGTGATGACTGAGTGTCATGCCTGGAAGACGCGTTTCAAAAGTAATGGTTTTGTGTGTATTTTTGTGGAAAGACCTCCCACTCCTGAGTGTTACAGTGGTGACTCTGGAGAAATAACAAATGCAATCATGGATCAGCTTCAAGAGGAGACAAGTCCGATCAAGGACAAGGATGTGTAAACATGGGTTTACCATTACAAACTTTGCCTGTGGGTCTGATTGGCTGTGAAGAGGGAACATGACACTGTTGATCTAATGAAATCCTTCCATGGATGACTGAGAGGATGTCCATGAAGGATGTGTCTTTTTCTTCACCCTGCATGGAAATCTTTACTTTCTCAGTGTTCTGCATCTCATCACAGACCCTAAAACTAAATAATGTTGTCTTTACCAGGATGAGTACATGCTTTAACCCTGAAGTCTCTGTATATATTGGTATAACATATGTCTTTGGAAATGTAAGAAATCAGTTAATAGAGTTTAGACTTTTTGGAAGGTGAAGCCACTTTTCTTTTTCAACCCTTTTAGCCTGACCACAGTTTAAAGACTGAATTGCACTTTCTTTGTCTTTTAAATGGACAAAGGTTCAGCTTTATGCTTTTTGGAAGTAAACCAATGTCCATTAAAAACATTACATGAGCCAAGCAGAGTAAATTAAAATGTTCTTCAAGGCTTTTCCCCAATTTGTGTATAAACCGCACACTCTTTTGTCTGCATAAAGGTCAAGTCTTTTGGACCGCTTTCTTAAAACCATTACCGATAACACTTTAAATCATGTTCACATCAGTCTGTTAAAACTTGTGCCATTACACAAAGGGCAATAACAGAACATCGGGAAGGTTTCTTGTATAATTTGTTGAGTGCCTGAGTGGGTTAAGTTTGCAAATGTCATATTTAAAAACAGAGAAAAGTTGTTTCGGAGTTAAATTTTAATCTGCACATTTCTTTTTCTTGCAGGTGGGGCTGGATGTGACAATAGACATGGAGAGGGTGTAGAGCGAGGGCTCGTTGACCTTTCATCCCTTGAGTGGTCATGTTATCTACAGTTTGAGCTTGGTCCACCCAACGAAGGCAGGCTGTACAGTCAGAACAAAGACCTCAAATTTCTACAAGGAACAAACCAAACATGAAAATCTGATATTGCTTACCACAGATTTAATGTATTCATGATGATTTCCTGGTTTGTGCAGTGTGATCCATTTCAAAATTAATCAAAGCTACCAGGAGAAAGTGAACTTTGCCTCTCACTTGTGGTTTTGTGAATAAACACAAGAAAGAAACTCATTATCTTGCCTTCAGAGACTGTATCTGGCTTTAATGCATAAGAAGTAAACCAGGAAACCAGAATAAAGCAACTTTAATTGAATACACCAGAGCTCTGAATACAAAACAGCCTGTGGAATGACCTTTCCAGACTGAAATGTTATTCCTTGCATGCACCTAACAGCAGGAAGCTGTATATGTACACAGTTCCCTTTCACGTCACTGCAGAGTTATGATCTCCAAGATAAAGGGCAGATCCTTTTCCCTGAAAGAAAAATAATCTGCTGGCTGGAGATTGGGATGGAGACAAAAAGCATGTTTTGGTGACCAAAATAGCAGAGGAGGAAGAGTAAAGTCTGGGAATAAAAAAAGGAGTAGTAGAGAAAAGACTGGACCGTCCCTCTACTCATTTTGCCAGATTTTAAACAGAGCACAACAAACTTGTGCAATTTTCATGGCAGTGGTCCATGGGAACTCATCCAAGGCACATTGGGGCTGACCCTCCTGGGAGGTCCTGTTAGATAGAGAATAATAATACTCCAGAAAGACCAAAGTCAGAGCACATTTCTCCTGCTGCTGACTACAGGACAACATTTGGAAGGATTACTGCAGAAAGAGGAGCCATGACCGGATGCAGAAACCTGGAAAGCTGAGATGCTCTTTTCCTTGTCCATTTTTGTGTGCTTTCTTGTATTTTGAAACATATTCACTGACTGCCAATAAGGACGGAAACTTCTATTTTCCTCCTGGACCACAGTTGCGTCTGATCAAGAGAGGAGATTGAGCTGACTGGAACGAAAGCTCTCACATATCCCCCTGCTGAGGGCTTTTGTTTCTGCTGCAGCTGAAGCATTTAACAGGGAGTAGCGATGGACATGGAGAAGGGACATATGCCGATCAGGAGAGGGGTGAGCTGGAGTCCAGGAGGATTGAGAAAACCTCTTCAGGCAACGCAAAACATGCACACCCCTGAGATGGAGTGCAATGCATCCTGGGAGAAGACAGGATTCAACTCAGAACAGATGAGCCGGAAAACAAGTGAGTGTTTGTTTATTTGGGATTTTCTGCCTTTTTATTTAAAACCCTTGAATCAGCAAGCGAGGGTTTGATTACTCTGTGACTTCATTGCACAGAAATGTAGATGTAAATACACTCCTTGTGGTTTGTTTTGGGTGCTGCCTTGGTGTCACAGTATGGCCATAGCTGCAGTATATCATTATATGAAAAAAAAACTCTGACTGAGAGGAGTAGATAGAGAAAACAGACAAGTCTGCCTCAGAGCAATTTAAACGCAGTGAGGTTCTCCATGAAACATCTGTTTCCACACTGTAAAAATACAGGCCGCCCTAACAGCAATGGAAATGCAATCATACATCTTACAGGGCTGTCTTGATATACATCACAGCTACTGACAACAATGGGTAAACTTGTGGCATCAAATCCCCCCCAAAAAAGTTTCTTAAAACAAACCAAAAGCAGCAAAACCCAACTGAAAAGATAAAGACCTCTGTGCTGTGACAAGTCATTCAACGCTGCATTTAAAAGAGTTAAAGTGCTGCGAGGAAGCATAACAGAAAGGTCATGGCCATCAGATAATTGTGCCTGATACGGATCTACCGCCTCTGAACCTCCTACACTGTTCCCATCTCTCAGTACTCGCTAATTGGTTTCCTAAAACCCGGCAAAGATCACCAAAAACAACACAAAGGCACTGTGAGCTGGCCACACCTCCACAGAAACCTTTCTTAACACACTAGAGTAACAATATGAGCTGCAGGGCTCAGTTTTCCACCTCTGAGTTCGTCTTTTATTTCTCCCATGAGATCCACACAGGGTTTAGGTCACATTCAGTCAGGTTAGATCCCAGGACCTCTGTTAATCCTTCTCTTTCCATACCGCTTCACACATTACCCACTGGGGCCGGTACTGTCATCCAGCTCACCCCAAAGCCATCACTCGGAAAAAGATAACATCCGACAGGGTAATCTGACCTTTGATACACAAATGCAGCGTCGGCCCCCCGACCTAAATCCTTCTGCTGGGGGGGAGTTTGGCGTTTGCTCTCACCCACACAGGGATGGGACAGAGGTAGAAAAATTAAGGTCCGTGCACCACTGCGAAGGGGCTGAGTTCTCTCGGCTGGAGGACAGGAAATTCCTATCCTGCCCTTGCAGGTTGGAGCTCAGGCCCCGGAGGGTTCAGAGAGGGCAGGCACTTGGTTAGGGAGGTGCACAATAAACACACACACACACACACACACACACACACACACACACACACACACACACACACACACACACACACACACACACACACACACACACACACTAGGCTACATGGTGATAGCCAGACAGACACGGGAGGGTAGGAAGGGTCAGATGCCAGATCACTGTTGTCTCGCTGGTCTAATCCACACACACACACACACACACACACACACACACACACACACACACACACACACACACACACACACACATAAACTGAAGTATCTCTAGTCTCTCTTTCCACTTCAAAGACTGCAACAAGAGTCAGACACTTCCTGCCATCCAGAGGACATAAGACAGAGATAAGCAGCTCAATACTCTCTATTGATCGGACACCTCTTCAGGTCTGTCAGAACAAAGTGAAACCGTGTGATCAAGTGCTAAAACATCAATACTTTTCGCTACAAAGCCCCAGAGCTCTTCCCCCAGAGGCATGTCTCCGTTTTTTATAATTAGAGGAAAGTGTGCGAGGTGGTGGTGGTGGTGGTGGTGTGGATTTTGGAAAAGTGAAAGAGAGCTGGAGGCTGGATGACAGACAGCACAGCCTCCAGCCACAGACCTCCTCCCTCTCTGTCTGTGTGTCTGTGTGAGCGTGTGTATGTGTGTGTGCTGAGCTTGACAGCGGAGGAAAAGTAATCCGATCCCGTGTCTCGCTACAGAAAGGGGGTGTGAAGCTATCAGACGCAGTTAGATTGAAAACTCTTGTGGAAGTACAACAAAACAACGGAGCTCTGACTTTGACATGGAAAAGGTAAGTGTTGAGAAAATAACGTGGTTTCAGGACGATGAACTAAAGTTTGAAGTATCGCGTGAGTCTTCAGGATAGTTGTTACCTTGAAATAAAAAGAGCAAGCGCGAGCTCTGTAAAGAAATTCGACTTTGAAGTAGACCGTTAGTTTCCTAATTGGATTCATCGGCTTCCGTACTTAAAGTTTAGCTCGCTATTTTCCCACAGTGTTTAAAATACGAAACCATTGAACTTTTGTACTTTTTGTACTTTTGCGAATGCTTTTACCAGAAGGAATACAATACAGATGTTTTTGGTTTATTGGGTGTTAATGAGCACATCCATGCCAATATATCCCTGGCTAGGTCATTAGGAAGGAGTGGGCGCATGAGCACTTAAATGTAAGCTGTCTTTGTGATTCAGTGAGAAACTTAAAATTTTTCAAAATCAAGCTCAAAAATTTGCTTTTTAATTTTTTTTTATTATTATTTTTTGTTAAAGAATGCTAACTATTTCGGTCATGGTATCAAACACTGATGGGATTTGCACCTGCGTGTTACTTGATAACCAGTCTGGCTCCCACTAGAGGTGAGATGTTTAAAGTGAGGAGATTTCATTTCAAGCCCCACTGCTCTGCCTCCAGTAGTACATCCAGGTAGCTTGAACTGTTAAAAATTTAATAAACAATAAAGATGTCAGTGGAACCCATATTGAGCAGCAGAATAATAGACACCAAATATACAGTAAGTACCTGTGTGATAGGTGGGCTCATTTCTCTGCAGCAGCCTGTAAAGGTAGCAGATTTATGCTCACTCTAATAGGGCTGAGAGGACTGCCTATTTCATGGGTTGTGTGATAATGCTTTCATCCCTGTTATATTGTGTCACAAACAGATGTGATGGTTGTTATAGGGCCATCTTAAAGTGTCTTGTCGTGTCTTCCATCTGTCAGGTTATTTAATTGATCAGATGTTTTCACAGTCAATTATAAAAGGGTTTAAGTTCATCAAAGTACATATTAGATAGGATTTGTAAAACTCAAGGGTTCGCAAAGAGTTAACTAAAAGTACCACGAGGGCAGACCAAGAGTCTGTAAAATCGATGGCAGATGCATATTATTCCTTAATACTGAGCGAGAGATCATGTGAGCTTTATGTACTGTGCCAGAAAAAAACTGCACACGAAATGAGCTGTATAGGAGAGCTTAACAAGGGACTGATTTATGCATGAATATTGTAATTGGCACATGATTGCATCAAATTCTGTAGCTGTCTGAATCCTTCCCTTTATTAAGTGAAGAAAGGGTCGGCTGTGCCAGCTGATGTTTCATATCTCCCCTCAATCACTACATAAGTGATGATAAATTTAACAGATGTGTCATCACAACAAGAGTCCTCTATTAAAATGTCCACTAAAGGATTTTTATTTGGTTAAAGAAGTGAGGATGTGGCTTTTATCTTACTCTCATGACCTATAAACCATGATGGAGTATCTATAGTTAAGATGGGAACACTTGATTGTATACTTTGTTTATAGACAGCAGTGAAAAAATGTCATTTTGGGGAGCTTTAGATTGTAAAAATGGTCTATTAAAGGTCTGAGCTGCAGTATTGCACAAATTAACTACAGAGAGAAACCAAAGGCATGTTGGAAGCTGAGGCAGGGAGTTTTTCTCGTCGGTGCAGGAATGCTCAGGGAGGGACGAGTGCAGATGGCAGAGGAAATAGCTCCGCTGCCTGGAATTGAGCTCTTAAGCTCAGAAAACAAACTGTCAATTTCAACAGAGACATGTCTCAGCTCATAATTTTAAGGTAATCAGCAAAACAGCAACTTCAAGATTGCACAAACTTTTTTGGGGCTATGAGGAAGACAGCTACCTAGACATTTTTAATGACTGTGCTTTTCTGTCTCTCTTGGAAGAAAAGCCAAGTGTTTTGCCACTAATGCCTGTTAGCTCTTTGTTTTTGCCTCTGCTTAAATCTCCTGGGTCAAGTATCCACAAAGCTGGATTTTTCTCATTGGATTGGCTGGAAAAAAAACAATCACAACCATATGGCACAGAAACAATTATGTGGGTCTTTAAAAGAATGTGAAGTCTCAGTCAGACCTGTTAAAAATTTGTTCTTGTTAGCTCGCTCTATTTGTACATAAAAGACGCTGGGTGAGAATTAATTAGATGTTGGGGGAATTGTGTCTAATTGAACGTAAGATTGTAACAGATTGCTTCATCTCCCCAAAGTGAGAGTGCCTTTTTTTGTTAATCAAACATCTCTTTTATGGCAAAAAGCTAAAACCTTCCTTTCTCATATTGATCAATCTATCTTTTATCTTTTTTCCCCCTTTCATTCCAGATCTGACTCGCAGTGCTAGTCTATCAGAGAAGGAGCTAAAGGAGGCCCGCGTCAGGAGTCAGATTATTGCTGCTCAGCTCACAATCCCTTCCAACTCCAGCTCCAGAGGCGTGCAGCTCTTCAACCGGCGCAAGCAGAGGGTGAACGCCTTCACACTGGAAAGCTGTGGCGAGGGTTCAGAGGAGGACAGAGCTGAGAATGTGAAAACCGACTCCTCATCTAACAAACCAACATGGGCAGAGAGGAGTAGTGAGGAGAAGTATAGAGACCTGAACTTTAAAAATAGCGCTAACAATCTTGCACCACCTGGGAGGGTACATACAGTAGGTGATTTGATGGAGGGCCCAGGTACAGATTTTCACAAAGAAGACACAGAGGAGAATGTTATCCAAGAGAGACATTTCCTACCTGTCAAGGAAGAGCAAGAGGGAGAGGATAAAGAGGGAGATAAAATCAATGAGGAGCTTGAGGACAAAGTAAAGGATGAGATTCCCCCTGGAAGTAATAATACAGATCAGGTTCTGATGAAACCAGCAGAGATAAACGGGGGCCACACAGGGCCAGTTCCTCCTGGAAAGCTTCTCAATGGTTGCCACGGTAATTCTGGACCTGACAGAGCATCCGTGTCCACATCCAAGCAGGCCAGCACCATCATCAATCGAACTGCCAGACCCTTTTTCTCACCACCAACAGTACAGTCTCCAGAGACAGTGCGCCCTGTCATGGACATACCTCCTCCTCCGTCTTACACCACTCCTCCTCTACCCTCCCAACCTGTTGCTTTCTCCCCTCCTCCTCCCCCGTCATATCCCACACCTCCTCTCCCGGCTTTTACAAATCAACCCCCTCAGAACCACTACTCTAGTCCTCCTCCCATGTCCCCTGTCATGTCTCCTTCCTCCCCTCCACCAGCCCAGTTCCCGTCTGTATCTCAGTATCCACCCATGCCCCATTATGGCCCTCCAACTGCCCCAAAGCCCTCCACTTTTGTTCCCCAGCCTGCCGGAGAGCGGAAGCAGATTATACAGATCAAAACAGGAATACTGGAAGAGGGTGCTGCTAGACGGGGAAATAGGAAGTCGATGTTCACGTTCAAAGAGAAACCAGTGGTGGCTCCGAACCCTGAGCTGCTCTCATTAGTGCAAGGGGCAGATGATAGGAAGAAACATGGACTCAGATCTGTACCCGAGCCAGCATCAGAGGAGGAGTTGCTGGCGTTGGGTGCAGAGGCCTCCAACTTCCTCGCCAAGGAGGAAGAAAGAGCTGTAGAGGCAAAGGCTCCAGAGTGGGCCTCCTGCCTCAAGAGCTCCAGGACTCAACCAAGGATGGAGCACAAGCCGGAGCAGACCCTCACAAACGTTTCAGGAAAAGGGGCTGAGCTGTTTGCCAAGCGTCAGTCTAGGATGGAGAAATATGTCCTAGAAAACAAATCTTCTGGACAAATGAGGTCTCCTTCTCCTACCATGTCTCTACCACCATCATGGGTGTACCCATCAAACATGCCTGGCAGGGTCAAAGCCATCGCCAAAAATTCTGACATGAGCGCTCAGCTCTCACAAAACCTGAAGGCCCAACAGGCAGTCAGGCAAAAACCAAAGTCAAAAGCACCAGCACCAGCACCTGCACCAGAGCCAGTCCCAGAGCCGTCTCCTTTTGAAAACGGCTGCTCAAAGATTGAAATGGACTTGGCAAGGCACAGACCTTACCAGATCAACTCTTCTCTCTTCACCTTTACTCCAACTAAGGATCCTCTCAGTACCCTTCCCAGAGGAGCGCCACAGTCCAAGAACATGATGTCCTCCCAGTCTTTCTCAAGACAGACGTCTCTGCCTAACAACCCTCCATCTAATTTCAGAACCCAGTGTTTGTCTCCACAGCTGCCACTCAGCCCCACAGGAGGAGCAGAGTATCCTTCAAACCCAGTGTCTGGGCAGCAGAGGATCAGTTCTCCAATGTCTGCCTTCTCACCAGAGCGGGTTTCCTCTCCTCGGTCAGGGGTCCAGGCACCCAGGCCAACATTTTCTGCCAAGAAGGCAGGGATTTCACCACAGGTGTGGAAACCCTCTCTGTACTATTTTTAAAAGATGTGTTTACACCAGAGGGATCTTCTGCAGAGATTATATGTATGGTTCTGATTGGGCTAAACTTAACAGCTTACTGCACTTTGATGTTAACTTGTGTCTTATTCTATTATTACATGTAGTATTATAGGGCTACAATGGAGCAGAGTATACTTTTCATGTGTGAAATATTTAATCCTTAAAATCTTTGAGTGATAGCTAGAGCTGGACCCTGTCTGTGTCTTGAATAAATCTCAAAGACATGATATTTTAGCAGCTTGGGGAATATGTGATGGTATCATATCCATAATAATGGACACCAAAACAGCTGTAATAACCCCTCTTTTAAAATAAAGAATGTGCCTTAGTGTAATCAGATACGTGAGGCTGCATAGAGCATTAGCACAAAAAAAACTTTAAGATCTTAATGTTTTAAAAATATGAGTAACAACCTCACACTTTTTCCACTTTGTGTCCCATTTCTGTGGGCACCAGGGTGATATTGCTTCACAAAGCACTTTAACAGATGGTCTGGCATCTGCTTTATGATCTACGATTTGCAATTTAATGCTGCTCACTGACGAGAGAGAGAGAGAACTACTTTTATGTCTTAATGTCTTCAGGGTAATTTACTCTGCTTTCCAGCATTTTCTACCAAAAATATATGGTGTGTACTTGGATACTTTGATGTTTCAAACCTGCAGGCTGCATACTAATTTTCCTCATGGACCTACATATACGCGACTTAATGCAGTATCTCTAGAAGTATATTTTCATACCACATCATCAATCACTGTTATTTCAGACTGCAGTGCTGTTTGAGGCTGTCTTTTTCATATCTTAAACCTTGATTCACTGCTTTTTCTGCTGATACTCTTTCTGTTATGATCAACTTTTTGTGTCTAAGTGAATCTTTCTTTCTCTGATTAAAGCTTTCTGCTTACACTCTGCTGTGACTTCTTTCTCATTTTTTCCTTTTCCAGACTCTCCTTGTGTTTTTTCCAGCCACTTATTTCACCGTTAAATGTTATTTCACTCTCATACCTTTCCTGCAATCACTCCAAACACTTGGGCACACTAATTAATGTTATAGAGAGTACATGTATAATTTGCAACAGGAGACAGATCCTTTTTGGAACACAGTGCATGACATTTAAAGTTCAGAATTAATTAGGTCAGCTTCCAGTCACAAGATGTTTAACACTTTCATGGGAATTTGACTTATGTGTGTTTGTGTTGGGGCATCAAGACAAGTAGGTGATCCTTGACCTGGGCGCCTTGTTTCTGACACAGATTTGATGAACTTTTGAAATGTTACCAAGCAGTATCATTTACTTCCAAAGAACCTTAATCCTTAAAATGTCCCCACTAACACATAAACAGTGTTCATGGTATCACATGGGGATGATTTGTTCTATATTAGTATGTGCATTAGATAGACGGCGACCCTTGCTTCACTTAAGTAACTTCATATGTCTGTAAAGGTTAACCAGCTCAGGAGGCCAAATGACAGTAACCTGAGAGAGACACTAAAGATCAAGCATATGTGTGCTGGTGTTCAGGCTTACTGAAGAAACACAGATATGAGCTGGATGCCACTGGGGCTCAGGCTGAACTGATGATACTCTTTTATCAAAACAGTTTTGTCCATTTAGCTCTATCAAGTTTAACAGGTCAAGGGTCTATAACAGCTTTGTGTTTGTGTAGTGTAGGTTTACGTAGAGCAAATGTCTTTCCAAGTTCAGTGCCATCAAGACTTAAGATTTGATACTGGATATGTTTTCGTGTTTTATTTCTGTTTGTTGACTAAATTCTAAAAAAAGCATCTCTCATGCCCAACAGACACCAAAGGAATCCCCTCAAAGTGGAACTCCAGCTGAGACTCCCACACCAACAGGCACCCCAGGAATTGCCAGGCGCTTCAGCAGCCCAGAGGGTCCAATTAACAGAACCTGGACTCCCAGCCTTCAGACTAGTCGAACCTCTGCCTCAGTTACTTCCCCTGTTTTATCCCCAAGGGGTTCAAGATGCCAGTCCCCTATGACCAGTCAGAACTTTGCTATTTCCAGTGTTAACTCTCCTTCAATGTCTACAGCCATTTCTCCACGCTCTGCAAACCCTCCTTGGGGCTCAAGGTGTCAGTCCCCGATGGTGAATCAGAACATGCAACCCTCCAAGAGTTCATCCCTTTCTGGTTTCAGAGTAGCCCAAACTGCTGCTACCAATTCCCCTGTTTCTCCTCCTTGGGGTTCAAGAAGCCAGTCCCCAATGGTCAACCAGTATGCCCAATCTTCAGCTGTCACCTCCATGTCTACAACTAGACCATCCACAGTCACATCTCCATGCTCTCCTCCTTGGGGATCAAGATGCCAGTCTCCTATGGTTAGCCAAAATACCCAGTCTTCAACCCTTCCTAGTTCCAGATCTCTTCACACTAGTACTACCACTTCTCCTTGGGGATCAAGATGCCAGTCCCCTATGGTGGGCCAGAATACTTCCACATCCAGACCTCTCCAAACACCCTCAGCCACATCTCCCGTCCCTCCCCCCTGGGGCTCTCGTTCCCAGTCTCCTGCACTCTCCCAGACTAGTTTGTCCTTCTCTGCGACTAAGCCGTTGTACACATCCTCTGTTTCAGCACCCAAAGACAGTCGCTGCATGTCCCCAATTGTCAGCAACCTAGACTCTAAAGCCAACCATCGTCTCCTGGCCAAGAACATCATCAATGCAGCCAAACGTAAAAACAGTCCCTCACCTGGAGCACTAAGCGGTCACAGCCTTCCAATCTCACCTCTTGGAAATTCCCACCATGGCTATGACTGTCACAAACCGCCCATCAGCCCCTTCCAGTCACGATCATTAGGAGCCCAGTCCCCAACCTTCACCAGCCCTCCAGCCACCCCAACACAGAGGATCTGCTCCCCTGTAAGGCTCTACAACGCCCGCTCCCTCACTGACTCTGATGCCTCTGTGGAGTCTGAAGACTCAGGCCTACGATCTCCAGGCTTCCATTCATACAACACCTGTCCCCGTGGCTGGGGAGGGAGCCTGAGGGTGAAGAGAAGCACTGTCTCCACAGACCTGTGAGGGTGTTACAGGTGGACGACCTTTGATATCAGTCCTCTAGACTTTTGTGGCATTGGATTTACCAGTCTGACCCATTTCTGGTAGCCTTTTATTAGACTGATATTTGACAAGTTACATGTCTGTAACTTTAAAGACCAACTGTGGACAATGGTAAATAATGTGTCCAGGTAGTTTTAGTATATCATATATCACATACATTCTTAATAGAGACTGACAAGCACATGCCTTTTACATGACTCAGTTTCTACGGTTTGAACTTCTTGAATACCAAAAAGTACAAAGATTCAAAATACCAAGGATATATTTTTTTATGCAATGAATATTTGATTTTTTTTACACTTTCACAGAAAAAAAAATTCATTTGCAGCCATTTTGTCCAATAATCTGACTGAAATACTGTTTTATTTGTTGTTGTGACTCAAGAAAGTGGAAAGAGAAAAAAAAGGCAAAGAAGGGACATAATTATGAACTTAAGTATCTCGGTGAAGGCAATCTCATTCTGTTTTATTGGTGAAGGATTAAAATGATCCTTACAATGAACAATTTACAGTATACACGATGCAAAATTACACATTATCATCAGTGATCAACGCAAACTGAATCATCTGTATTATTATCACAGTGCAATAATCAATTTAACACAGTGTATATTCCGTATGTTGCTTTATGTGCTGCATTTGCTGAAATGAATGTAAGACAGATTGTCAGAGGATGACAGAAAAAGGGATTGTTGTGTACAAAAAGAACTTTAAAGGTGGGGTTTAGCATTGGCACAGCTGTTCATTCAAACACTGATTCAGGAAAATAAGATTTGAAGGTGCTTTGGATTAAAAATTGATAGCAGACAGTTTATTGGACAAATGTTAGTTGTTAACTTGCAGATTAAATGGCACATTGATTGTAAAATTCATGATGGAGATTTCGTATATGTGTGGCTACGTTTTGTTGCTTTGGTTGACCATGAACAGCTCTTTTGATTTGTTTGCCAGTAATGTTTTTCATGAACAAACATGTTTTGTACATGTATTTTTTGTTCTAAGTGCCTGTTTGAACAGGGTCTAGAAGCAAAGTGTTTGTCTAATATGGTAGAGAGGGTGAAACAAAGTGAGAAAAGGTCAAAGAATGTTTTATGTTGTGAAATATTAACCTAAGTGTTTGTAAGGAAATGACAAGAGGAGTGGTTTGTATTTAAATACATGCATATTGCTAATGTACATTCTGATTCACTTTGAAAGTGTTCGTACTTAATTTGCACTTCTGTCCATTCCATTTCAATTGCAACTTGTTTTGCAAACTTGGGTCATTAACATAAAAAGCATGTCATTTCTGCATAGTGAAGCATGGTGGCATGGTTGCATTAGCTGTTAACCTGACTGTCCCCCCCTCAAACCACAACCGCCTTTCTCAAACAAGTGTTAATAGCCTCTATGCACTGTTTCCTTCTTTCACAGTCCTTTAACAGCACACACAACACATCACTGCTTCTGCCTGTGACATGTAGAGCAATGGGATCAGCACATTTCTAAATATTTACTCCAGTGTCTCTGTTGAGTGACAGCGACACCTGCTACATGGTGACCTGGCTCCTTCAGCAGGATTTCAGCCTATCACTGTCATGGATAGGTTTCCACCTGGGTCACGTCTGGACACACCAAACCCTGCTGACATCCTGAATATTATCATTTTTTGAGCTTTGCAAGCAAAATTTTCAGAGGTTCAGTAATTGCATGCATTCTACATTACACCTAATTTTTCACTTATTTCCTAAGTGTATGATGTCTAAAAGTAATGCAAAATAAAAGCAATGACACAGCTATTTCCATGATTTTATTTGCTTTTATTTTTTCATGCTTCATAACACTACATGCTGAACAGTTGTACAAAATCAAAGTACTTATAACACAGTTTAATCAAGCATTACATTCATTTTTGGGACAAATTTATCTGATTTCTGTACTGTGATCTTACAGCTTAAACACTAGAGTGACTACGCAATTAAATGACCCTAATTTTATATTGAAGCCAAACTATCTGACAAATTTATGACTCTCGTTAGCCTGAACAACTTCACCTTGACAAGGACTCATATTTCATCTGATCCTAGCATAACACATTAAGGCACTGAGACAGCCTCTTCTTTAATTTATATGTCAATCAAACTGTATATTAGGCTGTTATAAACTGCTTTTATGGAGATATATAAACAAAAGAAAAAAACCTGTATTTCTGACTTATTTTTCATAGTGTAAAAGGTGGGTAAATAAAGTGATGCGTATAAATCTATTTATCATTTAATTAATTTAATGTTTAACTGTCTCTAATAGTTTTGTGGCCTAGCTTTTTAATACACAGCCAAGGGCTGGCGTGATATAATATTCACTGAATCACCCACCCTGGATCCCTGCAGTTGCAGTCACTGTCAGTTCAACATGTGAGACACTTGAGGCAAGAGTTTTGAGACTGACATGTCCCCAACAGCAGCCCCTCGGGGTAAAAAGAAAACCAAAGCTGCATTTATCACAGGTTCATAGACTGCCATCTGTAGGATTCAAGATAGAAGTTCAAATCAAGGAACACAGTCACAACTGATCATTTATCTGTAGCTGTTTTGAAATAAACATTTCACATGTTCCCTAATGGTCTTTTTGATATTTTTGATAATTCATAACAAGATCAGAAGAAAGCAACTTCTTTTGCAAGTAACAGCGCTAAAATTTTGAAAGACAAATTTTGCCTTTGCATCCATGTTTCAAAGTAAGTATGATGATCCTTTCTGTAGACAGCTGTCGCAGCAGATACCTAAACATATCAAACAAGGAAAAAAGTGTGATTAACCATGAAATATGACTGTTCATAGTTAATTCTTGACATATATGCGTACTCATTGAAATTCAAACAGAGTTTTTGTCTCTCTACAAAGAACATATGAATGAATATTGTGCAAAAGTTCCAAAACCTCCAGTATTGTTGGCTATGTAATAACACTCATAGTAACCAATTGCAGTGTGCATTATGCCACTTACTTAGATGTATTTTAATGCATATATCACAGAACTACAGCTCCTGTGATTTTGGCACAGCTGCATTGCTGCAGGGAAAAAAAAGTGATATCTCTGTGTTACATATCACACATATCATTCAAGTTTGAAGGCTGAAAGCTTGAGGGAGAACTGCAAATAAACTGGAAAATATTGAGCTTAGAGTACAGTACAGTCCTCTTAGCTGATTTTTAGTTTATAATCCATTCATTTCAAGATATAAATGGCATCTTGTGATAAAGAATATTCATCATATACAACTGTTGATGTTATGAATTTGTAGGAAATCCAACTAACTAAGCCCGAATAAGGGATGGCAGATGGCTGTTACCCACTGAGTCTAATCTGCTCAAGGTTTCTGCCTGTTGAATGAAGTTATATGTTATTTATTTATTTTTGGCAGATTTGTGTCTGGTTGGTCTCTCTGTATCGGGATAACTAAGAGTATGAGCGTGTTATTAATTGGCAAGGTGTAAATTACGAAACAGATTATTTGATTGGTTGATTGATTGATGGATCAATGTACTTAAATCTGCTCCTGACCCCTCTGTACCAACTGTAATGTAAATTTTGTTGTTTAATCAGCTCTTCAACCTGCATTCAGCACCTGGGGGTTTTATTTGGCCAGTCTTTGTGCCTTGATCAACATCCTACAGTCTAACCAGCTGAGATAACTGCCAAAATAAGGTCTACTGTCTCCACAATTTAGATGAAAATCTTCATTCATCTATTTGTTTCCTCTTGGCTGGACTACTGTAATTTATTTTTTTATCCACCCATCTTATTAAAAGATGCTGCAACTTGATTTCTCAGAAAATCCTCCAAAAGGTCTCGTATTACACAAATTCTGTTTTCTCTACACTGGCTTCACATTAACTTCAGCATCAAATTCAAAATTCTTGTTATCACTTTCAAGTCATTGTAGCCCTGGACAGGCAATACCTACATCAAAGAGCTGTTACAGCTCTACAGGTCCGAGCTGGACTCTGAGGTCTTCTGATCAGGATTTGTTGATCGTTCCGCACCCCAGGCTTAAGACCAAAGGACCTTGGATCTCTCTGCCACTGGGTTTGATATCAGTGGAAAGTGTTTACACTTGTAAAAGCAGTCTAGAACCCATTTATGTAGACTTGATTATCCTCAATCTGTTGTGTGTTGTGTGCTCTAATTATTACTTTTGAATTATTTCATTTTATTCCATTATCATTCTTATCTGTGAATGACTTTGTGTTCTTACAAAAATGTAATGTAAATGAATTTCCACCTCTTCTTATATTACTTCCGTTATCTTTTATCTCTATCTTTTATCTGTCATCTCTTATCTCTTTTACCTCTATCTTATTTTGGCCTTACTGTCTTTTTAGCTTTTGTTATACTTGTACTCTTTTCTTAATGAATCTTTTAGTCCTTTTATTGTTTTATTTCGTGCTCATTTCTGTTGCTCTATTTTATCATTACTTTTATTATCAGGATTACCTGTTATTATTCTATTATCATTGTTGATCGTGTTTTCACTTTCGTCCTCCCTTTTAATTGCACTTTCCTAATTTCTTAACTATTTTATGTTTTTTTTTTTTTTTTTTTGGTCCTCATGGACTCATTTTATGTTGCATGGTTCTTGTATTGTCTGGGTTCTATGACATGAAAATGGCATTCAAATCCATTTTTACTGAGCTTTTTGTTTTTATCTGTCTTTTTCCATGTGCTCTAGGACTACATGTCAAAGCACTTTGTAAACTTCTGTTTTTTAAGTGCTATACAAATAAAGTTATTATTATTATTACTATTACTATTACTTATAATTATCATAATTGATAATGAGGTCCCAAACCAGTTAATTTCTATGCTGTTATTGGTGCCTTTTCTTCAGTTTAACAATGATGCTATAAGGTTACATGTGTCGTCAACTGACCTGAAATAGCCCATTTCTCCTACTTTCTCTATGTTACGGTTCAGAAGGATATTTTTCAGCGTTTCTTGCTTGACTGTGGAGATTGGAGACCATTACTGAGACACAAGAGGCCGCTCTTGAGGCGACTCGGACGAAGGCAGCGCAGTGTTTCTCCTCGTTTGACAGCAGAGAGGCTTGTTTTACAGCACAAAACAACAAGGATGAAGATTTCAACCGACGATGCGGCAACACAGATAATAGAGGCGACGTTTAGGTAGCTGAAAGAGCTGCTGCTTCATCTCCTCCACCCGCCGTGTGCTCCAAAATAAACAGCAGGAGACGTGAATATCGACTGCACTGCAGATGAATGTCTGTGCCTGAAGTGTCCCCGGATTTGTTGTTGTTAGCTGCTAATGCTAACCATAGAAGTTGCGAGCTAGCTGGCCTAGCAAGCTAATGGTTAGAGCGAGAGGAGATTTCGCTGTACATGTTCGATATGCTTAATACTTACTGTCGAGTATACTCGGTGTCGTTTAGCTGATGGAGCAAGTAAGTACCAGCTTTAGTAGTTCAGCAACTGCAGCTTTGTCAAAGCTTTTAAAGTACCAACAGTAGCAACGTTTGTTACCGAGCTAGCTGTTCAGTTAGCCTCCGACACTGTGAAGAATGAGCAGAAAACACCACCACTTTAAAGGAGCTGAAGTCAGCTGCTGTGTCAAATACTTCTTATTTGGATTCAACATTTTATTCTGGGTAAGTACAACAGTCTTTTTTCTGTATCTTTCGACATTGTGAGGGGGAAATACTATAAATGTTTACTTCAAGAGTCAATAAGTGTTGTGGTAAAGTTAGGTCACTGATTTTAGTTTGAGATGATTTTAAGTTTTGGTTGTGTAAGTCAAACAAAAACATTTCCATTGGTTTTTACTCTCGTTTTTGGTGATCCCTTTTTGTCTGTTTTGTTTGTTTGTTGTTGTTGTCAATGTGTCTATATTTGCATATTGGATAATACCTTTCAGTTATCTTTCCTAAAGGGTTAGAGAGAAAGTTGAGAGATATGAAAGTAGTGAGATGGGCTAGAAGTCACTAAAAATATCTTTAAAAGTTAACAAACTTTTACTTTAAAAAAGTGATCCTAAAGCCGTTTTTATTGTCTGGTGAGAAGCTGCAACTTTCTCCCATCATGATTAAGCTGTTGCTTCATAGTTGGGAGTAAATCACTGCCTGTTCAGTCTTTCAATAGGTTAACTTAGGTTTCTTTATGAGACGGGAGAAATTTGATGTTCCTTATGTCATTTTTTTAGTGTAATGTTTTTGTTTTTTTTAACTTGTATTTTGTGTTTTGGTGTTCTGTAAAGGAAGCTGTGGTGGTGGAAATCATAGACAAAAACTAACCTGATTTTAGTTTCTCCGCCTGCCTTGACTTGGCTGTAAGGATTAATACCATTGTGTTTGAGTTTGAGAAATGGAAGTCTCATCTGTATTGTTTGACCAGTGGCAATTGAACCCACATCTCCCTTACAACACCTCCCCTCCATCAATCTTTATCCCTCCTCAGTCTGAAAAGTCCCTCTGTTCAGTCTGCCCTACCCCTCCCTCCTTACCCCTCTGCGTCGAACGCCTCTGTGCGGCTGGCGTAATATAATGTCTGAGGGTGAAGGAATGGCGTGTCTGTGTGCCCCACAGGGTCTTCCCACACACTATTGGAAGAAAAAGGCCACACGGGCCTGAATACCACCCAGCCCTCCTCTTTTCAAAGCACCCTTTTCACTCCCTCCACCACTATAGTGTTGAGGCTCTGCAGGATAGCATTGTTTCTCTCACTCGCACACCCAAAACGCACAAAGAGGGCTGGTGATAACAAAGACTTTGGGGGGAGGATTGGGTGTGATTCTGTATTTTCTTCCGCTTATGAGTTTGTGCTTACTGCACATGGGATCCACATGAAGTTGGCTCTCTTCCTGTTCTTCCTCTTTTAGTCACCACCTCCGTATACCTTAACACTCCTCCTCAACGTGTAGGAGTATTACACCATACTATAAGTCAGCCATTTTTTTATTTTGTTTTGTGAAATAGAGAGAAGGTAGTAACCATCATGTCCATAGAAAAATATTTCCTTGAAAAACAGCGCACCAATAAATACTTACAATGGCCTCTCAAATGAAAAATGCTCTTTAATTCAGTTGAACTGAGCAATCAACAAGGAAATACTGAGTCATAGGGCAATAGTATTTTGTCTGACTCACATTGTGCTCGTTCAGACTGTTTTGACACTCAGGCCAAGCTAACAGGCCTGCGTCTGGGCTCTTTGTGAAACTGCTGAACAAGTTCCAGCTCGCTGGCTGTTTCCGTTAATAATCACAAAAAGATGTTCTCCTCTTGTCTGTGTGCTCCCAAACTGCATTTGACAGACAAGCTGGTGCATTGCCGAAATGGAGAGAGATGAGGTTTATTCTCCACAAATCAGCCCATTTGTCTTTCCTACAGTGATCTTGTCAGGCTCGAAAATGCTGCCTAAATTGAGACAGAATGCCTGGTGGACCCTAAATATTGTGAACAAAATGCAGCAATAAACCAGTGTCATCTCCTCTGTGTGAATTCCTCCGGCTCCCCAACTTGCTGTTGACACCCAAACAGTTTCAACCAACAACAACAACAACAACAAGACACCTTCACTCACCCGTACAATACACACATTCATCACAGCCACTTAATTAATCATATTTTCTGCCTGAGCTGCTGAAATGTTTGGAGTCTCTGCATGCTGTAATTAAGAGCTTGTTAAGCTGTAACCCGGTTGCTGAGTTGGTTGGATGCAGGCAGTGTATTATTAGCCAGCTACAGATCAGAGTGGTTGCTCACATTTGGCACCCAAGTGCACATTGGGTGAGCACGTCACAGGTGGACGCCTGTGCAGGAGCCAAGTGTGAATACAGATATTTGACAACCTGTCACTCAAGCCACTTTTAGAGGCAGTTAGGTATTCGTGTGTCAATAAACTTTTTGAATAGCGTGTGCAGCTGTGGTTGCATTGGAGGAAAGCAGAGCAGAGTGTTGCCAAAAGGTGGGCTTATGTGTGATTACTCAGTTTTTGATTTGGTGTTTGCGCCTTTGATATGTCAAAACAAGAAATTACACCTGGAATAATGCATGCTAGAAGTCAGTGATGCAAATATTCACAGTTTGACGCAATAGTCTCACAAAATAAATGATCCAGTAACCAAAAACACTCTCAGTGGGTTAATTGGTAATAATTGTAAGCTGCACCTACACTGCATAGCAGTATCCCCCTGAATCCAGAGTCAAATAAAAGCTGTTTCCCTGCCTTCTGTCTGAGGGCAAATGTGAATGCTTTCAGCTCTATTTGCTGTCTCCCCCCAGATAAAATCAAATGTGAACAGGGAGGCAAAGTCCACTCACAGAGGGACTACACTTTTCTCATTTATCTGATTTGTGTTCAGATAGACTGTGTCAACTCCAGTCAGTCTCATCTTGGGTCCACACAATATCTCGATGTATATCTGGCTACGAGGAAATAGCTTTGAACAGAGCTTAAACTTATCTGGATTATCGACTCAGGCCCAAGTGTTCAGAGTCCAGTTAAGTTTAATTCATTTCTTTTCCCCTGTTTTAGTTAAGAGCTGCAGCAGTTAATCAGCCAAATTGATATATTGATTTTTCAGTATCAAGTGTACAGAAGTGTGACTGCAAAATACGCGTAAGTGTTTTCTAGCAGTGGTATCAGAGGAGCTGTTGGCCATGCCTCTGATATCATATCATCAAGCCTTCACACGGCTAACCTCATTAGAAATTCAGCTTTTCAGGGAGTCACTGAGAGGGCAGGCATCACACTTGAGTAAGTCTATAGCCTGTGTGTGACCAGGCAGCGTGCAGCTTGGTTTGTCTGCTAGTTAGTTGAGGTTAATGGGATCAGCTGGCTTAGGGAGGCATCTCCTCAAGTGTTGATAATCTGTCTGTCCAAATGGAGAGAACCCCCACTCCCACTCCTCCTGGGATTCACACATCTTAAGCAGTACTTGACAGAAAAGTAACCTGAACTGCCTGATTTGAATAATGAAGGCATATACAAGGACATTCAGTACCAGACTTTGTTTATTTGCTCAGTGGTAAAAGATAGATGTACAGTGATAAAAGCAGAGGGATTAGACGGAGTGATAAAAATACACCAAGAAAGAAAAACAAATTACTTACTAAAGCAGGTGAGATTTAAAGAATGAAATCCTGAGGGGGGCTTTTAAAACATCTTGCCTCAAAACAAACAGAAGCAATGAGGTATACACTTAGCTGGAACAAACAAGGACATAATATTGTGTTTTTCAAGAAGAAAGGTTTACGCTGTTAATTCCCTCGAGAAAGTGCATTTATTCTCTTGTTTTTATTGCTTAATTTCTGACAGATACCAGAGGATCAATTAGGTTCACCATGTGATGTTAAGTATGAATATTTTTCAGTTGCTTGGTTAAATTTAAAAATTAAAAAAAAAGAAAAAAAAAACACTTTTTTCCTGGAAAATTGTTGAATCTCAGATTATCAATGAAAAGATTAAGTACCGGTAGCAGTGTGCTGAAACACATGTGGGTTTGACTTTTGGTGCCTACTAGGGTCTGACCGATATGAATTTTTTGGGGCCGATACCGATTTTTTTTTTGGGGGGGGGGTCAGATTACCGATTAATCAGCCGATTATTTAATTCTTTTATGAAGTTATAAAAATATATACTGTAGATTTACTGAAGGCTATCGCTCTTCACGGTGACAGGAAGACCAACTGATCAACCTCGGACCAGAAAAGTGTTTTCAACTCCCCCCCACCCCCGCCGCCGATCGGTGCCTCCGCGTCTTAACTCACATTACACATTTCTGGTCCGGTCTCATCTGGAGACATGCAGCTGCCTCAGTAGAAGAAGTAGCTTGATCACTTAATGTGTACTGTTGTGTATTCTACCGTTACTGGCACGACTTAACATAGCAGATGGCTAACTCTAACTTTAGCTTACATATTACATGGTGCTTCACTGTTAACTCGGCGTGACCGAGACCAGCACAGCGGGGAACATCGTGAAGTGGGTTGAACTGAAACTTGTTGACTTATTGTTTATTTCACAAACTGGTTTATTTACCGTTGAGGCGGACCGCTCTCCTCCATGCGTCCCTGAGCTGCCTGCTTCAGATCCGTCACTCTGCTGTGCTGTGAGGTAGTAAGTGGATGAAGATTATCATGAGGTCGCTGCGCCATCTACAGGATAAGTTGGGGAACTTTTCAAACGGCGGATCAATTTCGAAGTGAAACCGAATCTTATTCTCTGCATTTTATTTCTGTAGATATCGGCAAGTTTTGGCCGATTAGTCTCAAATGGGCTAAAATTGGCCGATTTAATTGGCTTACTGATAAATCAGCCGGGCCCTATCGCCTACTTTGTGGGGTGTGTTAGATAAAAGGAAATGCTTGCTCTGTTTAAAACCAGGTTAGTTCAGTGTCAGTGAGCTTACACAGTCCTTACTTTCTGCTTCAAGAAGTAGGCTTGGTTTACAAATAGGTCTCATAACCAGGTACAGAAAACACTCACAAGCTAAAAGGTCAATTTGTTTGTGTGTGTTTGAGCCGTTTACAGTAAAACACGTTCAATATCAAGTTTGGTCAGCGTTCACTTTCCCCAACGAAGGGGCAAAGTTATTATTTGTTTCAAAAACAAAGTTGAAGGCAGTATTGCCTGACAGAGAAAGAGATTCAGAAATGCTGGAAGAAATAGTAAATCAAAATGACAGGCTATCAGGCATGGATGCCTCAAAGCTGTCTCACTTTTAATTCTGCCTCCAAGGTCGCCTCAAGCTGTGACAGTAGGAAATGCAACTTGACACACATTGAAGTTCTGTTGACCGAAAATAACAAGAAAATATAACAGAGGTACTTTTCTGGTTCAGTGTCTGGTTGGGGGTTTTATTTTCGAAGTACCCAAGTGAAGGGGTACGGTTTTTATCTACCAAGGTTATATGACGGTTCACAGAAGAGTAGAAAGAGGAAAGATGGGAAGAGAAAAGTGGAGAGTGTCCTCACTTGATCTACAAGGAAATCCTTTAGATACAGTCTGTAATTAACAGTGTGACCCATGTCATGAGTGAGTATGATAATGAATATTGTGGTTCTCATATAACCATTAATGTGTGCTCTTCACACAGTATATTGATAACTCTTAAAGCACTTGAGTGTAGCTCTAGATAGTAGGAGTAGTCCATCTTAAAGTGCTCTTTATCAGTAGGGTTGTAAGAATACATTGATAGTAGCAAAATGTCTTTCTATTCTGTCATCTGAAACATCAGCTTTTGTAATTCAGACTGCATGGCACATAATCAGATAAGGGAATAGTCACCAAACTTGTGATTGATACCATCTCCTATTGCTCATGAGCAAGGCCTCCTAAATTGAATTGGATGAAGATAATATAATGGCACTTCTTGAGTGTCGTGGCCCGTGAAGATATGAAAATAGCATCAAAATTCTGTTTACAAAGTGTACACCCGTACTTAGCATCACTAAGTATCCAATCCTCAATATAAGCAGCACTATCTATCAAAGTGTCATCAATTCCTCCTGATTTCTGTTGTTAGCAGAACAATGATGAGACAACAAGGACAACAGCCATCTATAGATGCATTTACAAGGTTAAATAGAACAAAAATTACTTTGTATCTGCCTCTTTTTAGACTGCGATAAGTAACATTAGTGCAACCTTTGGAGTTGGCCTGCTGCATAAATCAAACCCTCACTGATAGATGCTGCAGTTTCTCCTCATTTCAGCCTCTAATGTCTAAGTAATGTTGGAAACAGTAATTATGATGCAGTCCTCGTAACAGTCATGTTGAGTGATTACTTGGCACCGTGTTTTCAAAGTTCAGGCCACTTTGTTGCCCATTAGAGGGCAACTTCCTGGCGATAACCTCTGGGGAATTTCAGCTCTAAAGGGCTGCTTTAATGCAACATTACTTTTTTGGCACTGTGTGTCTTATTCTGAAAGAAGATGCAGGTTCAGTTTGTCCTTCAGGTTTTTCTCAAGGACACACCTTTTGTGGGCCGCTTCCATGGCTCTGAATTGAGAGTAGTGAGAGTGAAGCATTGTTGTCAAAAGTCACACCCTGGTATGTAACACATGCAGGTGTTGTGTTGTCCTAAGAGGATTGGAGACACTTGATGCAGTGGCATCCAGACCTCAGTTATTTTTCATTAAGCGTTAAAGTTAACCTGCTGAATATCTTAATGAACAATAAAAAAAAAAACGCATAAAAGAAGAAGACAGTTGTGCACAGGTGCTGTCTTTTTTATTTTGCAGAATACTATGATGTGAGTTTTGCAGGAAAATAATTAACAATCGTCTACAAGAAATTTTCTGTAGTTACTTTTTGAAGCTGAATCCATATTTAGGAAGCAAAACTATAAATTGAACATCATATAGTGATAATTTAGTAATAATTCAGTGACATTAAAGATGTATAAAAGTTGTCCCATGCGCTGAAGTGAGAGCTATTCCTCTGTCTGAGTTTTGTGTGCTCTCCCTTTTTTTTTATCCAGGTGGATTATTTAGAGTCAGGGGATAAATGGTTTAATACTCTGTCTGTCTAATCTCTTCTACCTGATCTCCGCCTGGCTACATACCGTGACTCTTCCTGCGTGTCACTTTCCTGCTGAAGCCACCGCACGCTTCACTACAACCACTTATGTAACTCAGAGGCAGGCCAGCCCTGCAGTGTCCCCTAACAGCAGCTGTTGTTGTTGCTTGGCATACTGTCACATTGTTGGGCTTGTTACTCAGGCTAACGGATTGCCATCAGTTTACCTATTTCCCCAGAGTTAATCAGCTTCCCAATGATATGATTTAGCCCCATTTCAATGGAGCTATTATATTTCAGAGTGTGCCATTATAGAGAGCCCGAGCAAAGTTCATTACCAGCTCAAATCTCTTGGGAATGACATTTTTGTGTTAGCTGAGCAGTGTATTAGACAGAGCAAAACAAAGCTGCCCTGTAATGTGTGAGTTTTGTAATCCGAGAGGCTTAGTGTGGGTTTTTGTTTTTTTTACATATCTCTTTATATCAGGTAGTCAAGCACCGGAGCCATCTCGAGCCATCACCCAGAGAGGCTTTTTTTCATTTCTCTTTTCTCAGCATGTTTTAACTGTGAGCCAGACATCCATCCTCCATGAGCCAGGAGGCTAATACTGGAGGGATTTTCCTTAATTCTCAGGATATCAGATCCTTCAACCTCTTAAGTAGCTCAGTGCAATGACTCTCACCTGTAGTTACCCGCAGTTGTAGTCATTTACTCTGTCGACTTTATTTTTTTAGAATTTAGTTTGTATTATGGGGTGAAAGTATTATCGAAACACCTCTTTCTCTAAAGGTCCTTTCACACTGGGACCGTTTTTGTCGTGTGATAATTTCGGACGTCAATATTTTCTTTCGAACCTGTATCCTGTCAATAAGCGTTCACGTCAGCGACGTTTTCCCGTCCTGCGATATTGCAGCATTTATTTTTTCGTATCACGGTCGATTTTTCTAAAGTTTCGCATACTGTGTGTCCACTTCCGACCAATCAGATTGCGTGTTGTTGCAACATCAGATTCACCAGTATATCCAACATGGCCGATTGGCTGATTGTTTATGATCGTTTACACAAACATTACAAAGATAACGACCTAAAGGACAACTTGGGGAGTGTCATAGCGTTGGATTTCTGATATGACAATGGTTTGTGTTCTTTAACAGGTTGCTAAACGTCTTTGTTTTAACTTTCATCCGTGGTAACATAAGCTAACGATTGTTACCATAGTTTCATGTGCTTATCTGGTACTGGCCCTGACTCAGTACATGCTACCATGACAGAAAGCCATCTCAACACTAGTTGTCTAGTGTCTAGTCCTCTGCCTCTTTAAACTTTGAGCTAATTGTTTCAGCAGAACTTCAAATTGTCCAATGGACATCCGAAAATAGGTTCTGAAGCGACCGTGATACAGTTTCAGCTCCTGAACCAAGCAGTGAAACTCACCAAGTTCTCTTCTGTTTTGTAATAATGGATTCACCCATGTACTACGTTTCTTTTTCTTTTGAGAAAGCAAAAGGAGTACCAATCCGCCATCACTTGAAGTTAAAGTAGACTCCATTTTTGTCTTCTCGCTTCCACCCGGGATGTTGTAGGTTGTTATGGGAAGGTCCCGCCCTCCTTCGCCTCTGATTGGCTATAAGTGCTGACTGTTTGGCTTGAGCATGTGATGGCATTTCCAGCTTTTCTAGCCAATCAGAGGCGAAGGAGGCGGCACTTTCTCCCAGAAAAGTCTTTCCAGGGATGCGTCTTTTTCCCCCCGGAAAGTCGCAAAATCGCATCAGGCTTGATGTGTATAGTCAGTCAGGTGCGTCAAAATTCGTCTCAGAATATTTCATGATTTCGCGTTCTATATTTGTGTCGGCCCCGGTGTGTAAGGACCTTAAATGAGAGCTATACATTTATCCATTGGCTCTAAAATGCAGATGTCTGTGTTCGTCTTTGACTGTGCCCCTCTCACATTTTTAAGTGGGGTTGGATGTTATAAAAAGATGACGTCAGAGAATTATTTGTCACAAAGTTTAACATCACATTGTAAATATGAGGATCCAAGGACAATTGTTTGGTTGTTTGCTCATGTTGTCCTGGAGACACGGCTGTAAATCAGTTGTGATCCAACCACACCCAAGCTTCCAAGATAGAAGAGTTTTTTCACTGTTTGTTTCTCATGAAGTTTTTGTCTTTTTTGAACCATAATTGATGATTTTTTATTCTCTAATATTTAGTGGCCTCATTACTTTCATTCTGATAGTAAAGTCTCCTCTGTCTTCTTTGACTTACAGTTACTTGGAGCGGCATTCTTGGGCATTGGCCTGTGGGCATGGGCAGAGAAGGTAAGTGTAAACACATGCACTCAAACACAGACTGTCACAGCATAGCTAAGATTCTTCTCCGTATTCTGGCAGGCAGGAGCTGGAAGTAGAAGTCGGAGGAAAAGCGCGGATGAGAACAGGGCTTTTGAGAGAATCGGGGTGGGGTAAAGCGTTTCGTGAAAAGCACCATTCATGGAACACTTTGTGGCTCTTAAAGGTGTATTACCTGGTAATGGTCCTGGTAAACATGTAGGAAATGAGTTATGTTGAGGCAGCTTAAGCTAAGATGTGTGCTTGTAGAGGACTTGCTGAGCCAATATGTGTTTTTCTTGTAGTTGCATAAGCTTAAGATCTGCACAACAAACAAAAACAGATATTACAACTCATTTGACAAAATAAATGCCTCAAATTTGCATGGTAACTGGTTGCTGTATATCATCCAGTATATTGGTTACAAAGTTCAGGTGCTGCCACCAACCTCTTTTAGCAGTGGCCATTATTAAACATACCTCAAATTGAGTATGAAGTCAATTTGTTCATTAATTATCAGGAAGTCGTACCAGTCGGTTTAACAAATGCTGCTCCAGCGTGGAAACATGTACTGATTAGTAACGTCTTGGTCTTGAACTCTGTGCAAATGGGGCTGTACCGCAGTACCTCAGTGGTACAGCGTGCATAATTTAAAGGGATTAGGCCCTATGATGAATAGTGGGTACTGGAAAGGCATAATAGTGAATTTGGGTCTCACTGACTAAGATGATTAGTTTCCTGCCAGCTGCTTTTGGCCAGACTTGTTTATTGTTTCAGGGCCTCGTGCTTAAATTCAAATGAAGGCACTTTATTCTGCCCCATAAAAAACACAAGAATGCAGTTATACGTCTGTCCTATAGCCGTCCTTCAGCTCAGCCCAGTGGGAGCTTAACTTAAGCAGGGTGAGATCCAGGATTCCTGGGCTTTAGCTGCAAGTGTTTGACATGTGCACTGAACGTGACAATCTAACAGCTTGTCAGGTCTGAGAGTGGATGGCCACACTTACAGATGAAAACACTGGTGGGATCCCTTTCAAGATGGTCCGAAACACGATGAGAGATCATGCGTGAAGCAGAGCGCGTGTTTGAGTCGGACAGACTTTTTGAACTCGCATCTTTACAAGCCTGATGTGTGCTAGGTTTTCATATTAACTCAACTTCCAGCCAGCTTTCCAGCATCAAATTGTTGTATCAGGTGGATGAATTTGTCAGTGTGTTGCATGATGGAGAAGTGGGACTGGCAGGAAAATATGGTCAATGCACTGTGGCCCCGGGCTACGAGGGCAGGATATGCAGAAAGGAAGGGCAGATGTCTGAGCGGGAATGATTGCAGAAGGCTTCCAGCTCTGCCTCGTCTGATAAACGTGACTCGCTCTAAAACCTGGACACAGATCTGTGAGAGTGAAACGTGTTAAATACATGTGAGGGTGATTTGGAAAGAAAACCTTGATTAGATCAGACCATACAGTTGACAAATCCTTACTGTCTTTGACTTGAAATTGCAACGTTAGCTTTGTATCTCTGAAGAAAGCAGCCCCAGCTGGCCTGTCAGCTGTGTTATGAGCCGAAGTCTCACTTTTTGGCATAAAGCTCTTCTCAAGGTTAACTGTGTTTTTGAAGAGTGAGGAATGGCGCTGAGAGCCTGCAGGAGAGACGGCGAGGATTGATTTTTGAAGTATTATAGTCAGAATTAACCCTTCTCTTTTGTCTGTCTTCCTCTCCCTCAGGGTGTGCTGTCCAATCTGTCATCCATCACAGACCTGGGGGGCTTCGATCCAGTATGGCTTTTTATTGTTGTCGGAGGGGTCATGTTCATCCTTGGCTTTGCTGGCTGCATCGGAGCGCTCCGAGAGAACACGTTCCTGCTTAAATTTGTAAGTCAGAGTGCATACACAGAGTACAGATGCTGTTTTAATCACGTCACGCTCTCTTAGATCATCCGTTCACACCAGAGCTGTCAATGTTAGTAGGTGTCACGTTAGCGCACTCTCGGCAGATTCTGAGGAAATTGCATGTATGTGTTATCGCTGAACCGCGCTCTCTTTCAGCATGTCATGATCAGAAACAATGATCCGCACTTTAAATGCAATCAAAAAATTTTCTTTTCGTGAAATTATATTTCTCAGCTCTATTTTTTTTAGCTTTAAGTCTATGAAATCCTAACACTATTTTGGGAGGTTTATTTGTGCTCTGCCTTATTGATAACAGCATGTGACTGATGGAGACAAACTCGTCTTGTTGCTGGCTGTGATTCTGAGTAGCTATTAACTCCAGCCGATGTCCATTAGCAGCAGTAAGTCAGGCGTCAGACTGAGGAGCTAATGTGGCTGTTGTGCATTTATCATTAGCCCCGTCTCCTCCTGCATTTACTGTAAAAGGAAGATATAACGGTACCCCCGGGACTGCGGCTTTTGTTGCCACACTTTCACTCAGCAGATCAGGAGAGGCCTTACCACAAGACCTGCATGGGCTGCATGACATCATGGCTGTTGTCTCTTTTCATTTCTCGAAAAAGATTCAAAGAGGATTGTCTTTGGCACACCCGGATTCTCTGAAGTGACAGATTGATTGTTTTCTGTTTGTGTGCGTCATGTACTCCCCAGTTTTCTGTGTTCCTGGGTTTGATCTTCTTCTTGGAGCTGACTGCAGGGATCCTCGCCTTCGTCTTCAAAGACTGGATCAAAGACCAGCTCAACTTTTTTATCAACAACAACGTCAAGGCCTACCGCGATGACATTGACTTGCAGAATCTCATTGACTTTGCCCAAGAATATGTGAGTCCACACCTAATGACTCAATTTTTTTGGTAACATGTACAAAACACGTTTATCCGACTTCCCTGCTTTTGAGCCCGAGGGAGTCACTCCCTTCCTTTGTCATTTTGTTTTTTATATGGGTCTGAACAGCGATCTTGAATCAGCTCGGTTCCAGGCAAACAGGAGAATGAGTCAGCCTCTGCCACTGTGTTGTAAATCTCTTGATTAATGTGATTGCGTTCCCCTCAAATGATTATCCAATTATATGAATGAAGCGGTTTAGATAACGGGCTCTCGTGTGTAAACACCGGGCACTGCCATGATGCATTGTAAAGGCGATTACCTCCACTGTTGTCTCACCATTTGTGTCTCAGTATCTGTTGCTGCTTCCCCGACACAGTAAGCTGGCTGCCCACCCAAGCTGACCTGAGTCAGGCTCTGAAGAGCTGATTCAAGACCGGATCAGAGAAAATAAATCTGTCTCTTAACTGGAGTTGGCTGTTTAATCTCTCCCTCTTGTTGCTGCTGTCTCAGTGGTTGTGCTGTGGAGCTCACGGGCCTGACGACTGGAACCTCAACATCTACTTTAACTGCACTGAGCTGAACCCCAGTAGGGAGCGCTGTGGAGTGCCCTTCTCCTGCTGTGTGAAAGACCCTGCGGTAAGTTCACCAAGGATCATTATTTAGCGGTATTGCGAGTTATTATGTAAACTGTGGTTTAAATTCTTATCAATTATACATCTGCAAAATACAAATTACTGTGCTGTTGGTAATATTTAAAGGGTATTAGATATTTGTAGATAAGACGTTTAATCCATAATCACTTATTTACAGTTTGATGCATTTTGAACAGATTTAGAAAGTCTTAAAAATTGAGGTACCTTGTAATCCTTGTATATTGGTATTCCTAATATGTCAGTAATTTTTTGTTAACCCCTCAAGGTGATCAGTTCTGTTGATATTAAAGGCCTTCAACATGTCAATACTGAGATGAGGATCTAACGTGTGCGTTGCTCTTGCAGGAGGACGTCATCAACACTCAGTGTGGCTATGATGTTCGACTTCAAGGGGTTTGTATCTCTAGACACATTTCTACGCTCTCTGCTGATCTCTGCGTGTGGCTGTAACACATGTTTTACTCCCCTCTCTAGTCATTCACCTGTTAGGACCTTGCTATGTTAAAATTCAGTATTATGCGTCGTGGTATGTTCCAAATGACTCTAAACCTTCTAAAATGCCTTATTCAATTAGAGCAGAACCAGTTCCCATTAACATCAGTGTCAGAGGCAGGAGTAGAGCATGATTGGCCGTTAGCGCCAGCCTCTCTGGATGAAATGACAAAAAGCCTCTGAGTGGAATTACTCCTGAGGGCGTGTTGATTGACACGCCGCAAAGCAGGTTGATTGAAACAATCTAAGCTTTTGTTGGAGGTTGCAGCAGTAATTTCCGCTGTTATTGAGCTTGATTGCTGGTCTCGACCCCCCCCCCCATTAGAAATAAATTAATGATTGAAGAAACAACTTTGAAGATCTAAAATTTTATAGCATGTTTAATTAGCTTTTTTTTCCTATGGTCCTAACCCTAATGATTATAAAAGATTCCCATTTTAAAAATGCCTGAAAATGTGTGCTTAAGAAACTGCTAGCACATTAGATACAGGGAGTGAATGAAGATGGAAAGGGTTAAAAAGCACACAGGGTCCTCTGCATGCTTCTTGCCTTAATAACAGATTGTTCTTCTAACAGGGATAATTAGGCTCCAGTTATAGCCTCAAGAGAAGCCATACTACACTCTGTAATTGGCGACTCGGTGGGTTATGCCAGTCCGTTCCTTTTTCCTCTGTGTGTGGGTGTGGTGGTTACAACTCACTGCACTGCAGTCAGAAAGATTGCTGTTGCTAGGCGCACAGCAATACAGTGAACCACCTGCCACTGAGTTGGTATGAATTAATTTTCTCTGTATGCTCTTCTGCTAACGCCCTGGCCGTTGACATTTTAGCTGAATATATCAGTGATGTGCATGAGTTCCTGTGCAGCTTGTTAGCAGAGTGCAGGCTGGGAAAAAAAGAAGAGCAGGAGACACAGGGAGGACAGCAGCACAACAAAGGAAGGGGGGCTGAAATAGCTTCAGAGGAAGTTCACAGCCAGAACAACATAGCGTTTCCTGCTATTTCATTGGCTACCAGGGGGCTCTCTCTACTTCCCATTGGTTGAAAGCTAGCTTTAAGGTTTTCCGAGAGAACAAAGGGTCTTGACTGCCTGACTCTTCTTGAAGAGCAACAAAGGGAGCATTGTAAAAGGTCCCTGTTCACACCCATTCTCACCCTCAGTTTTTAGTGTCAGTGCAGCTCTAAATTACACCTTTTTCTTCCGTCTGAAAAGACCACATACATCATCGGCTGAATCTGACAACACAAACAACCATCTGTCCGGTAACAGGAAACAGCTTCTCCCTGTTTATTTAGGCCTGACAGGGTCCTCTGAGAAACTGAACACGCTGCCTTGATATTCTCCATCATGTCCAGACACTGACACATTGTAATCTCCAAGTGACTCAGCTATCACTCACTCCTCTTGCCTTCCTCAGCGGTTCAAGAGTCAGGAGGCAAAATGCTATCAGTGTTTACTTTGTGTTTTTTTTTTTTCCAAGCTTTAGTCATAGGGCAGAGTTTGGATGTTTGTTTGCATTATGCAAAGGTCAATGTCTGCTCTGTGAACTGTTCATTTTAACCTGACTCCAAAAACAACGTGCTTCCTTTTTATTTTGATTCACCTGTAATATGTTTTTATTTTAAAAAGGAGCTGGACCGGCAGAAGTATATCTATACCAAGGGCTGTGTGGGACAGTTTGAGAAATGGCTTCAGGACAACCTGATTATTGTCGCTGGAATCTTTGTTGGTATTGCACTTTTACAGGTAAGGGGAAAAAAAAAAACATGTAGACTATTTTTGTCGCAGTCATTTACCTGAAAACCACTGCTGCATCTGAAATGAGATGTTTACCATAAACCCTCAAAATGTCTGATCTGATTTTGCATCATCAATGCCATCTAGTGGTAACAATGGGCCACATTAAGCAAATCCCAGAAGCCTGCTGTATCATGCTGTATGGTGGTGTCATTTTCTGTAATCTAATATCCTGTGTGGTTTCAACTTTAGATTTTTGGTATCTGCCTTGCTCAAAACCTGGTGAGTGATGTCAAAGCCGTCAAAGCCAACTGGTGACAGGAGAGGAAGGGAGACAAGGGAGTTTTGCCCCTCAGGACCAGCCAGGTCAACACAGCACACTAACAGTCCCTTCCGGACGAGGAGGGAGAGCCGAGAACACTTAACTCTTTGCCACTGAGCTAAGCAGCACATACCCTCTCCCGCTTGTACACACAGACTCAGAGTTTACCTGCCTGATGATCAGAGACACTTGAACAGGGAGAACGAATCCCACACAAACCAAACTGTCGACACTACGTTTAACACTCTGCTGGGATTTTAACCCAAATATACAGAGGACGATCCTGCCTATTTCACTTAGATTCGTTTAGTTTTTACGGTTTCCTTTCAATTTGGTGTTGGACAAGTGTATTTATCGGGGGTGCAGTTGCACACGGACTCCTGTCAGCTTGGAGATTGGAAGCCATGGACGAAAATCAGAGACAACCCTGGAAACAAAGTAAAAGGGACAGCAAGTCTCCTTTTTTTTAGGTCAAGCATTGCATTGTCACAGAGCCTCTTTTCACACAGTAAGGAGTTGAACATCCACAGCAAACAGCTTGTTTTTAAGTGTTTCTATTCCCACTCCCTGCTGCAGGGCAGAGTGGGTGGCTTGCCAGTTGGGAAACAAACACTATAAGGATACTCTGTGTGTAATATTTCTCTATCGTGACCTTTTTTATGACCACTGAAAAGACTGAGAACGCTTAACAGGTCAAGTCTGCAACTTCAACTCATTTCAAGAGATTTAACTCAAAATGTAAAAAGTGCCATTAATTTCCAGTGACATTTCCAGTGACATTTTTGCGTCTTCTTGTTCTGAACATGGAATCTCTGCAACCTGCCCCCACAATACCTCAGGGCCTCCCAAAGATATATGCTTTCTGCCCCTGGTTAAAAGCATATCTATATTTTTATTTCCATCCGTATCTGTTGAATTTAGACGGAGTAACTTAACACAGACAGTTCCTCAAACGTGGTCCTGTTTGCCCTGCAGTGATGATTGTATTATCTGTTGATTTACTGAGGGATATTATATATGGAGTGGTCTGGTGAAGTTAGAGTGTTAGGTGTATGCTACACAGGGAAAAAGGGTGTGATGATAGTCGAGATAGTTTAAACCTCTGAGCATCCCTCGGGCACATGGGATTGCTGGTTCGGGGCCTTTTTACTTGACTGTGTTACCACGTTTGTCTTATATTTTGTTCTAAACATATTGAAATATTTTCTCTCTTAAAGATGTCCGTTATTCATCCTCATATTTCCTGTTATTTTCAAATACAGATTTTTATTCAGATTGATTGTTTGACTTCAGCAGGCGCCTGTTTATACCTCCAACTCATCAGTCAACTGCAAGATAGCTTCCTATTGTTGATGTTGTTAGCAGTCCTTATGGAGACCAAATAATATCAGCTGGCCGCAAGCTAACTGCCAAGGTTTTGTCTGGCTACCATTCTGATTTTATTAGGAATGCCAAGAACAAACAAAGCATTTCTAGATAGCCAAAATGTGAATTTATCATCCTTTAATGTTGGAAGTGCCAGTTGAAATGAGAAATCTCAAAAAAAAAAAAATCTTATGTAACACTATCGCTTTTATCGTTAATTGATTTTTGTGTCTTTTGTTTGGACTGTTTTTTTTTTTTTTTTTTAAAGCTAGACTAGTTACTGAAAGCTGTCTTTTTTTTTTTTTTAAATAACAGCCTGAATATAAAATGAATGCTGCTTTAACAATGACGAGATAATGGTTGTATAGTACAGTAATCCATATAACACTAGTCTCACGTAAAGGCATTAGAACAGCTTGTCGTGTTGTTTTTTGTTTCCAGGCTGAGCGGATATTAAGATTATATGTTCTTTTTCAAGTTTACACTTTGTTCGTGTCCCTCCTTTTATGTACATCATATAAACCCCTCCTCACATTATGTGTTGCCCTCCCAGCTTTTCATCTTGTCCATGATCCTCACAGAATGTGTTTGCTTTAGACCAGTGTTCCCTTTATTATTTCAAACATCAAACATATTTCACAGGCAGGATTTGGGTGGGATTTACTTGACCAAACACAAACTCATATACTCATATACATAGCTGGCCCCTAAACAAACTATCTCAATGGTTGAAGCACCCACAGGCTGAAAGACGAGTAGCATTAATATTCTGTGAACAGGGAAGCAAACTTTTCTAACTTCAGAGTCTGTCTTCAGAATATATATTCATACACATCAAACTTCATTTTGCAACTGCACCTTATGATCCCTGCTATGCATACATGTCACATGCTGCTTCCACCCACACACTCAAGTCTTCAAAAATCCACCTGATCTGACTGCACCTGTTCCCGGGCCTGTCGTCTGAATGTATTTTTAAACTCTGAGCTCGTTTGGGGAAAAAAAAGAGGAATGAAAAACAAACAACTATTATTTGAATCGAGCCATCATGAGTAGAATAGATGAATCATACCACAACACATCTGCACGTAATGACTTCTCTCAGCTGAAATGGATTGGTTTCTATAGGAGAGGCTTTCATTTCAGCTCTCGAGGTATAATCAGAGAGTAAGAGCCTCGAGCAATCACAAAGAACATCCTTTTTTCCCCTCGGATCAAATATGGAAACATTTACAGGATGAAACGACTCAGCGCCGTGGTAAATCCTCACCCAAACTTGCCAGGTTCTCCTGATTTTTGTGTTTGCTTGTTTTTTTTTGTTTTTTTTAACTTTTTATCCTCTTCTTCTAAATGTGTGGGCCGCTTTGATTTCACTAACTGCTGTAAATCAATCCGTCCCACTCTAGTCTAGAAGATCAGAAAGAAGCTAGAGCGGTTTTCCTCCCACCCTCCACACCTTTTTGGTGTAATCTTGTGTTGAAACAGATCATGTGTGATTAATCACTTTCACAAATCTCTGAAGTTTTTACATTTTTATTTAACCACCCTCAGTTGGAAGTGTTTGCTCAGGGTCTTAAACATCCCCGCTCTTCGTGAAAAAGACTTGTGCTTATGCATACAAGAAGATTTTGTGTTGTACACGCTGAAGTGGAGAGCTGATTTCTTTTGAGTGATGCTGAAGATCTGGCTGAAGGCACACGGAGGCCAAGGGTGTCCGTTCTGCTGCAGTCTAGAGCTGCAGCTCTTAAATAAAAAGCCCCTCTATTAGCTCTCTTGCTCTCTCTATTGCTGTACAGCTACTGCCGATATGCCAATAATCATACAGTCACCTTGGTAATAAGAACAGTAATACCATTTTAATTTGTGATAGCAGCATGGCAGGATTTTAATGTGCAGAGGGGACTCACTGGAGTATGTTTGTTTTAGCAGCTTTGGGTTATTCTGGGCTGTATTCCTTGAACTAAGGGGAAAGGGTGGAAGGAGACAACAATGCTAATTAGCTTTGTCCTTTATCATAATGGCCTTGCATCATGAAACACCCTCTTAATTTCTCTGCTTTCCCTGTGGGCAGTTGAATCATTCCCGAGGAGGAGCCTTATGCATACCATGAATGTATAAGTCTTATCAGCATGGACCTGGTGCTCCACGCTCTCTTAGAAAATCTAGTTACCCTCATGCAACGCAATGCACAAGACAAATGAAGTTAAGGAATGTGAAATAACAAATAGTCATTAGTGATGCTTCTTAGATGTTATTCTGGATTTACATTTTTTAAATGTGTTTCAGTGTGTGTGAAAGCAGATGAGCATTCCATTTCTTTCCGTTTCCTGGCATGTGTGCAGACCGGCACGGACATTTTATATGCAATCACAAAGCATTTGAATCACTAAAAGTAACCAGTTAAATGCTGTCTTTCTAATGTAGCTGCAAACAATGTGGGTGATTCCTAAAGACTCAAATCATCTCTGTACTCCAGGGTTTTGATAGTCTGTTCTTGATATTTCACTTCTTTGCAACATATGCAAATGATTTGACTGAACTTTTTAACATTTCCTTTATGCATATACTACACACTGACTCTATGTGGCGATGTTTATCTATCCTGTAATACTCTGCTTGTTTTGAAGTCTGTTAATGTCTTGAGGCATATTTGTTGATATATCTCAGTACAACAGACTTGAACAAGTTTTACCTCATGGTATGCAGATGCAGGTCACATTAGAGCACAGACAAGCAGCATAACTGATTCATTTGTGGACATATTCAGAGCAATATAGCAGATTGTAGGAGTGGCTTTTCCAGAACTGAAAGCTAAATTTGATCAAGACACAAGTTTGATCAGACTGGGAGGTTTTACAGATTTGCTCTCACTATAAAAACCCAGATACACTAATATTTTGACCAGGCTGAAACCACTAAACTATATCACTATATCTTTACGATATTCTTCTTTGATTTACCTCCAGTTTGTACGCTTTTCTTTTCTTGTTGCAGCAGAACTCAACAGTCAAAACTATCATTCATCCATTCTCTCAGTTTGGACCTGTCTACTCAGATGGGTAGCCTTGTAAAGAAATGTTGTATATGAAAACTGTGGGACATGGTCTGTTACACTGTATATTGTGTTAAAATATGCCTCTTTCATATATTAAAGGATTTATGATAAAACAAGTGTCTCTATTTTGTCACACAAATAATGGAGAGTAGGTTAACTCACTTGTTTTGCTACTTTTTGGCAATATTCAGAATAAGACTCCATGTACCATGCATATGATCAGCTTGTTACACTGCTAAAATATATTTGTCTGGTATGATGTAAAGTGAATGGGTGGTTATGCAAGTTTGGATCCCAACATTGTAAGATGGAGCAAAGGCGATAGGGCTGGGCAATAAACCGAAAATTTAGATAGATAGATAGATAGATGGATGGATGGATAAATAGATGGATGGATAGATGGATAGATGGATAGATAGATAGATAGATGGATAGATACTTTATTAATCCCAGTCGGGAAATTCAGGGGTTGTGCCACTCACAGACTCATACACAGTACACTAACAAAGACAGCGGCAACAACAACAAGTGCACCTCTGCAGACCAGCCAATTACAGTAAAATCGGTTAAAACCAGTATAAAAAGTGCAATAAATGCAGTAGTGCTAGCAGTGAAATATGTATATATGTAATTTACGACAATAACCGACATCATTTTCCCCATATTGGTATATTTAATGTTAAAAATGAATAAATAAAAGTTGGTTTTGGATGTGTGTAGGTAGGCTATGGTCTCATGTCCCTTTAAGACGCTGTCCTACATCAGAGACGTGACTTCACCCCATCCAGTCTGTCACAAAGAGGGAAAGACAGGTGAGGAGATGGAAGACGGTTCAAAAGTTGTAGCGGCTGAAGCAGACAAAGTTAATGTGGGAGAGGGTGAGCAGCTTGTGGAGTAGTTAATGTCCATTTATTGTTGTAGAGGTGGGCTTCTCAATATATCGTGATATTGATTCGAGGTCATATTGCCCAGGCCTAAAAGGTGGTTTTGTATCTCCTGTATAAAGCTGTTCATTTATTCCCCAGCTACCAACTAAAAAACAAGTAAAGTTCACAAAAATATTGATGCATGGATGATTCAAGTGACTTAAAAATAATTTATTTATACAGCTATAAAAAAGATCTCCTGATTCCACAGTCAATAACATTTCATGGCTATGGTCAGTCACCAGCTGTCTCGAGGCGTAAATTAACTCTCAATTGAGCATTTTTATTCATGGTCAGGTCAAACCATGAGTCTGCTTATTCATAAGCACATTTAATTAAAAACCTCAAGGTAATGCTTGACAAGGTGAGCTGGTCCTCTGTAGAAATATTTAAAAGAAAGAGGTATGCTGTATAAATAATCCTCATGGGAACATGCAGCTCTTAAATGTTGGTATTGAACCATGCTACTCACACAGGGCTGGAATGCACTAATAGAAAGATATCAAGAGAGAGAAAGAGAGAGGGCTGCACACAGATGAGCTCTCCAGGCAGTCAGGGTTTGGTGCCTTGCTCAAGAGCCACTCAGTAGAGCCCAGGAAGTGGACCGGTATATTTCCAGCTACCAGCTCAGTTTCCATATATTGGTCTTTAAAGGGACTCCCAAGCCAAGTCTCTTTAAAGCTTTGAAGTTAAACATACAATAGAAAAAGGCAAATGTAATAACTTTAACAGTGCCATTGTTATCATTATCACTACCTCTTAAAGGTTCTTACAGTGATTTGCAACTCTGCTACCGTTCTCTGGATTGCATGACATAATCTTGCTGAATTTATCTCCATTAGGAACGGTTGGGGCTCGGTAGCACTTCAGGCTGCTCTTACATCTGTGCCCAGTTACTGTCAGTATTTCTGGAGACCAACTTGATATGGAAGCTAATGTTTTTGTCACTCTGTCAACAGGCAGAGGACTCTGATTTGCAGATTGATTTGTTATAAATCAATGTTGTTATGAGGGTTTAAGCTATAAAGATCAAGTGCTTAACTCACTCTGGCAATAAAAGATATACAAGGAGCTGCACCCACTGTTTAGCAAACAATATTTTTGGTCTTTTACATTTTTACATAGGGTGTAAAGTTGAAGCTGAACATTTTTACACCTTAGTGCACACACTTTTACAACTAATGGAACTACTTCTTCCATTTCTGAACAGTGGGAAAACTACACCGTTAGAAACTAACAAGAATTAAAGGTGACTGCAGCACTAATCCTCCTGTTTACAATGCAGCATTATTGGAAGGGTTTCTCTGATTGGAAAATGCTTTAATTGATTAGATGATGAATGAGACAGCCAATAGAGGGAGACAAACAGTGACAGTGAACTCAGAGACACTGACACACTTCAGCAGTGACTTCATCTTCTGATCCCCGTAAGGCAGCACAGATTCTGTGCCAAAACTGCTGAGGAAAATTAAAAAGATATGAAAAACAAAGGATGCAGACAGCAGCTGTGTGTGTGTGTGTGTGTGTGTGTGTGTGTGTGTGTGTGTGTACGTGTGTGTGTGTGTGTACGTGTGTTATGTTCTTGCTGTTAGTAGTTTTTAGAAAACAGCTTGAAGCTTTCCAAATCCATTCACTTACCTGCCATTACTGCTCTGCCGGAAGATGTTCAGATCAAAGGGAATAACTATTCAACAGATTAATCCACTTCAGAGACTGTTGACATTTTCCTCCACTATGTATAGCGGGGATGGAATCCTCCACTCCAGCATGTTGCACAAAATGAAATAGTTTTCTGTTCTCTAAATGAATGCTTTAATGAACATAAGCTTCACTGCCCTTATGACTTTCTCGCCAGGGTTTCTGGTCAGAGGATGCAGCAGCTACTGATCGTTTTCAAACCTAACCATCCTTGAAAATTCATGAAAGGCATGTCATGGCTGTTTCCATGTAGCATCCAGCTTCATAGACAGCTGCTGCATCTGAGATTCTTGCTCTTTGGACCTGATTGAAAGCAGCTGCTACCTCGAGCATTATCAGCCCAATTAAAAAGTCTGCCTTGAGTCTTTATCTGCTCAGGAAACATAGTGTACAATATGTTTCAATAATCAGCTGCCATTAATCCGCAGAGTAGTTCATCACTGAAGGCCAGACCCTTGTTTTATCTAAAGGATGCATTCAGTAATTTCCCGGCTCCAAACACACTCCATTACCTTTATGAGTTTAAAACTTAATCACATGATTGATTCCTACTTCTGCGTCTTCGGTGCTTCTCCTGCAGATTTCTTAATGTGTTTTGTCGCAGAGCCCAGCCCATGCTGCTGCACTCACCTCCTGACCTGAAATGTACAGACAGTTGATGTTCCAGAGATGAAATGTTGTTATGTGTACTTTTCTTACAGATGGCTGCAGCACCTGTAAAATCACAATTGCAGCTGTCTGAGTCTAGTACGAAAAGTATGCCCACCATCAGGATGGGGTTAATATAGGACAGATCAATTTCAGCTCTGTAATCTAGAATCAGGTCTGTGCTCACAGTAAGCCTGTGTTGATGAAGGAACCAAGTGAATATTTGTAGTTTTCTCATATTTCTTTTCTTACTATTGATTTTCACATTAACTAGAAAGCATCACTCCCCTTCACGCTGCATCTTAAGAACTGCTCTGATATTTCCCTCTTTCTGATCTGCATCTTAAAGCAAGGCACTCTTATCTTCCTGTAAGGTAATGTGCTATTAGATAAGGATTTATGTCTAGTCTAGGAATTTGAAATATGAATACGGTGTAACCATGAAGCAGAACATACATAGGTCATGTATTGTTGTCTCACAGCCTGTGAACCACATGACATTGTGTCTGGCTGATCCCAGGTAGTGATCATGGTTTACAGCGAATCAGCAGAGCAAAAAGTCAGATTAGCAGACTGTGTTTTGTGTAAGTTTGAGCCCGCAATGTGAGAGTTCAAATTGTTTGCATGAAGAATTTGTCATCAGGGCTAATATTGCACTCCAAGTGATGGAGTGAGGTATTAATTTTTGCAGTGCAGTGTTAATTTTTGTGTTTGAAACAAAAATCTCCCAAACAGTTAAGCAACATCTGTAAGTCCCAGACAATTTCCCTAAAAAATGTATAGATGTACCATCATCACTCTCGCCTGCACTTCTATATCTACAGTTTGTAACAATACAAGCCATAAAAGCAATTACATAAAGGTGGTGTTAAAAGAAAGATGGTGCATTTTGGACTTTATTTGCTTTTATTGCAACTACAATCTTTTCTTGCAGGTTTCAAACTTGATTAGCCAATAAGGTAATCAATTTCCAAGGGTAAAAAATTTGTCAAGAGAAAATATTATGTGCAAGAAATTTAAGATTTCAATTAATCCTCGCATGTCTAGCCAAACCAATTTCTCCTCTGTTGATTAATACAACTCAAAGTGCTTTAACATGGTAAAAAGTAGGGGTGGGGAAAAAAATTGATTCATGTAAGTATTGTAGTATTTTTGTTTTACAATTTTTAAATCATTTTTATTTTGTTCAAAAATCGATTTTTTTGTTCAAAAGTCGTTTTTTTTTAATTTAAGAATAAATCTTAAAAACTGACTTACATGTGATGTGTATTTTTTGGGGACGAGTCAGTCATATCATATAGATAATCATATTCATTTCCCTGGTGTTAAAAATGCTGACTAAAAATTGAGAAAATCAACAATATTGTTGAATCGGAATTTAAATCAAATCGGCATCCTAAAAAAACTGTAGAAGGATCGAATCGGAAGACGCCCTAGTCCCAGCCCTAGTAAAAAGTATAACAAGGCTCTGAGGGAAAATTTAGAGATCCGTTTGATGACAGGTGTCACGGCAGATTTTGTTGCTAGTTTAGAGATCTGCCATTCCTGTCCCCATCATCCCTTTATCATCAGCCCACATTTTGGTAAAATTCCTCTGTACTTGAAAGACAGCCCAAATTCTAATATTTCATAAGGAGAGCAGTCTACTACAGATCTACTGAGATTTTAAACCCAAGAGTGACCTGGCTGACAGGCTTGGCTGAAGTCTACAATCAACATTAACAAATGATCCGCAGCCAAAGAGGCTTGCAGTTGAAACAGCTCATTAATTGATCCCTCAGTGCATCTGCGTGAATGTCCCTGGCAGAGAAAACTGAACAAATTCCAAACTTGCTGTGACAAAA